CCGGACTGGCATACTCCTCCCGACTCGGCGAGCGTGCTGGGCAGCCCGCCCTCACGCTCCCACTGCGTGGCCCGGGTGGCCACAGAGTGGCGCCCGAGGCCCCTGCCGTTTCTTCTCGCCCCGCTGTCTCTTCCGGGCCCTCGAACCGTGGTGGGTTCCTTGGGGCCGTGCGCTCGATAGGCGCTGCGGTCTCCAGCTGGGCTCTCTCCAGGAGAGCGCGCAATCGCGCAGCCCACGCCACAACGGGCAACATTGGATGGAAGATGGGTTTGGTGGCCGCTGCGCTGGCGCCTACCCTCTTCACTGTTGAGCGCGGTGCCAGAGAGGTGGCACACGTGAGCCTCACTGCAGTTGCCACTGCGGCGGAGGACCTCATCGAGGAATCCTCTGGTATCCTCGTTCGGGGTGTCCGCGTGGTTGGCTTGACGGCCGTCGTCCTACTGTGGACGTTCGCGGCCGTAGTGCTGTGGTGGGCCGGACGTGTCGCCACTAACCGGCTAATGCACGCCATGAACGGTAACCCCTTTGGGAATGCTGTTCTGGTGTCGCTCGAAGGCCGGGAGGCTGTCTTTGAGGTTGCATCAAAGACTAAGGCCGGAGCACACAGGGTTCTTGTGAAGGTCGGGTCGGGCGCGGACGGCGCAGGCTGCGACTGCAAGGCATTCCTCAACGAGGGACGTTGTGGTCACATAGAACGCGCTGTTGAAGCTGCGGGGCAACTCGTGGCCATGACAGGCGCGAGCGCTGCCCCAACGCTGTCCGTCGCCCCGGCCGCGACTAGACGCGCCCGTGCGATCCTCGGCGCGCCGGCCCTGGAACAGGGGTGCCTTGCCGGCATGGTGTCGAAAGCGAGATCGCTCTCTGAAAGAGCTCGGAATGTCGGGAACCCGTCCGAGGGTTGCCTTGACGGCTTTACCAAGCTCAGAGGCCGCCACGAGGTGGCCACAGTGTCGGCGCCTCCGACAGAGACTGTTCCGAAGACGCCTGCAGCGGAGGCTTCCCGCCAGGGTACCTCTGCGGCGTCTCCGGCTCCGACAGCTCCCATGTCGAGCCAGGCACGGCGTGTCAGAGACTTCCCGATCCCTGACGGCTTCGAGCGAGCCGGGGTCAAGTTTCTGACCCTTCCGGAGTATCACGCTGTGGTACAAACGATGCTATCGGACGCTGGGCATGGGGACCACGTTTACGTGCGAGCCTACAGCTTCGATAGCAAGCCTTTGGTTGGAGCCCTCGTGTCCTCGCTGGAGCGAGGCGCCCGAGCCCACGTGCTTGCCGACAACTCGCAGACGAGCCGGACCAAGCTCCAGCTGCAGTCCCTCAAGGAGCTAGGGGCGGCTGGCGTCCAGGTCCGTGTCGGCAAGGGCACCTCGGTCAAGGCGGCTTACGCCGCCGAGAACCGCACGGACGTGAGCATCGGCGCAGGCCTCGCGGGCATCCACCACGCCAAGACGGTGCTCGTGACGAGGCCGGACTCCACAGTTAGCGCCGTGATAGGAAGCCTAAACTTTAGTGCTAGTTCACGGGCCAACGCGGAGGTCGGCATCGCGGTCGCCAGTGTGCTGACCTCTGAATTTAGCCAAAAGTGGCTAGATTCGTTTGGCACCGAGTGGTCCAAGGCGCTGAAGCTCGAGGAGTTCGAAGCACCTCAGCGGAACCACCGCGGGCGGGCAAAACCCTCAAATGTCCAGCAGCCCGCCGCGCAACCCAACGTGGAGCCGCAGTGACCGTGGACTAGAAGTCGCGGACTGCGCTCCGCCCTTCTAGCCACCTGTGGCAACTTCAGTTTTGGTCGCAGCACCTAGCTGCTTTCCGATGAGACGACAGGGTGGCGTATCCGCTCTACAGGTCTTTGACGGGAGCGGCTAGGGAGGCACGGTAGTGCTCCCGAAGCGCGTGGAGTAACGCCGCAGCTTCAGCTGCTCGTTTCACCAGCCCTGTGGCCGCAGTGCGGCGCAGGCTGTGTACAGTAGGAAACCAGAGCCTCGTGCAGCACAGGCCGTGAAAAACGAAGGTCTTGTGCTGAGTGCGAAGGGTTTGTAGGAGGGCAGGGTCTGTAGGTCAGTTTTACGGCCTCCGGCCGCCCGCGGAATCCTACGGCTCTATCGTGCTCTCGGCTGAGGGGCGAATGTAACTGTACATAGTCTGCGGGCTGGCTGTTGTGCTGTATGCTTTTATGCATGCTCTTCTGTAATTCGTATTCATAACATTTTTGGCTCAAGTGAGCACGGCAGTGTGTCGTTGGTAGCTTCTCGTTGCCGCGACGCAATTGCGCGCAGCCCGTCCTGGGCGGACGTTCGACCTGTCACGGTCGTTGGACTTTCTGCTTGGACGGAAAACGAGGGTGCGTGCTGCCCCTTTGGGTTTCCGTTCTCCACAAGTAGTAGTAGTAGTAGTAGCAGTAGTAGTAGTAGTAGTAGTGGTAGTAGTAGTAGCAGTAGTAGTAGTGGTAGTGGTAGTGGTACTAGTAGTAGTAGTAGTAGTAGTAGTAGTAGTAGTAGTAGTAGTAGTAGTAGTCGTAGTAGTAGTAGTAGTAGGTGGTGGTAGTAGGTAGTAGGTAGTAGGTAGTATGTGGTAGGTTGTAGTATTAGTAGTAGTAGTAGTAGTAGTAGTAGTAGTAGTAGTAGTAGGTGTAGTAGTAGTAGGAGGAGTAGTAGGAATCGTAGGAGTAGTAGGAGTAGTAGGAGTAGTAGGAGTAGCAGTAGCAGTAGGTAGTAGTAGGTAGTAGTAGGTAGTAGTAGGTAGTAGTAGGTAGTAGTAGGTAGTAGTAGGTAGTAGTAGGTAGTAGTAGGTAGTAGTAGGTAGTAGTAGGTAGTAGTAGGTAGTAGTCAGTAGGCAGTCGGCAGTCGGCAGTAGGTGGTAGGTGGTAGGTGGTAGGTGGTAGGTAGTAGGTAGTAGGTAGTAGGTAGTAGGTAGTAGGTAGTAGGTAGTAGGTAGTAATAACAGGAGGCTGAAACGATTCCATCCTTGCTTCCTTTATTGCTTGCTTACTTCTTTGCTTGCTTGCTTGCTTGCGCGTTTGCTTGCTTGCTTGCTTGCTTGCTTGCCTGCTTGCACGCTTGCATGCTTGCTTGCTTGCTCGCTGGCTTGCTTGTTTGCTGGTTTGCTTGCTTGCTTGCTTGCTTGCTTGCCACGAGCAAAACGGAAAAAAAATAAGAAAAAAAACGGAAAACAAATAAGCAAAAAATACCACCACCCATAACACGTTCGGGCTACGTCATCTTCGGCTTTTTGTTCAAGACCCCGCAGCTTTGCCAATAGCCACAGACTTTCGCAATTTAGGTTTAGGGTTTAGGGTTTAGGGGTTAAGGGTTTAGGCGTTAAGGGTTTAGGGTCATACACTCCAAGTCCCTGCTTAAAAAGGGGTTAAGGGTCTAGGGCTTGCCAAACATACCCAACCCCACCTCGTAGATGGCAGTGACTTTGAAACGATCGGAGGGCGTCATCCGTGTGAAATACCTTTGCTCTTCCGGTCACCAGGTATGCAACACCGAGGCCTACCGCGACCTTGCTGTTCACTCTTCTGACATGTACCTGGACCTCCACGGTATGTAGAAATATGGCCTTTTATGGGCAATTTATGGGTATTGGGCCATTATTTTACCTACTTCGGGGGGTTTAGGCAATTCTGCTCTGCTCCGCACAGACCACCCGAGGAACGGGTATCGCGTCCGGTCGCTGAGGCTGGGTGAGTCGCATCCAGGAGAGACCATAAGCACCTGCAAGGGATGGCAGCATTTGAGGTTTAGGGTTCAGGGCTCCTAAACCCTAAACCCTAAACCCCTAAACCCTAAACCCCTAAACCCCTTTAGGGTTAAATTTTTGGGGTGCAGTGCACATGGCCAAAGACATCAGACCAAGGTGGCGGATGAGTATCGTGACAGCAAATCGCTTCAGCTCTTTAGCAAGGCGAATAGAGACTTCTGTTCAGGAGGCTTGTTTCTTCAACCTGTAGAAGAATCCCCGATCAGCTACTGTTAGGCCAAAGTGTACTGATATTATATGGGCACATGGACTGTTAGGATTATGACAACGACATCGCACCGCAAATCCCTGCATCTTGCTGCAAGGTGCAACAGCTTGCTATGTTTGTCAGTTGTGCTCTAACCCGTGCGTAAAGGTTCAATTTTTCTCGCGCCAGTTGGCGATTTTCGCTGGCATGGTTTATGCTTCGAAAAGCACTGGCATTCGCGGCACATGCAGGAAACACTTTGTTTTCTGATGCCCTTGCACGTATGCCCAAACTGCATTCTAGCATCTGGGGTTTCTTAAAACTGGAAGAAACTGGCAAGGTAGTTCATACCTTATTAGGGGTCCTGGTAGTTAGGATCCTGCTATTATATGGTTTGTTTTAGGAACCTCAACCCTCGAAAGCATAAGCCTGACCCAGCAAGTCGGGTACCCTCTTCGGGCAGCGCGCCATAGCGGTTTCAAAAGAAAGCCACACCTCCTTGCTTTATGTAACCCAAAAGAAGGAGGTTTCTGATGACGCTACCACTACGAAGACGAAGACCAAGACCATCACATTACTAGGGTTTAGATTGGCGTTTTTTTGGGCTCAGGGTTTTCGACTGGTCGAACTTACTTGACCCCAGTCCTTTGAACCCAAACCCAGAACTCCCAACACTTGACACCTTGAAGAGTCGCGCAGCATCGCTAACCGCTGCGCATGCTTGACCTTGCGTGTGGAGACAACGAAAACCAGTTCACGATAAGGACAAGAAACATTTAAAGTCTTCACCACAAGCAATAATATTTTTTGTCGCTGCAGTGCTTGTAGATATAACACCAATAGATGCCACCGGACCGAATGGCAAGTTACCTGGGACCCGCACGTCCCTGCGTTTAGAGGTAGCTCCAGGCTCTACCGAACAGTAGGCGAAGCCTGAAAGCCGAGACGTCAACTCTGCAGGAAGTCCTCAAACTAGCCCAAACAGCGGACATGGTCTTAAGGCCCAGTAGCCAGTACACACGAGTCCTTGAAGGCTTTTTTGGGGAAGGGGCTACATAAAGGAAAAAAACAGCAAAGACCCGAAACTCCTAAACCCTCCTGGAGCCTTTGAGAGGAATGAACGCGCAAAGAAAAACCCGGTTGAATCATTCAGGCCCCCAAAAATTCTCCGAGCCAGGTGACTGCAGGAGTCACCCAGGATCGCGTGCTTCGTGGGACCGACGGTGAATGCTTCGATGGTGGCCTCTGTCCCTTGGGCCTGTCGGGGTCTTGGCCGTTGTTGTTTTGCTTTTTGCTTCTTTGTTGGGCCCTTTTTCCGTCTTGGCCGGTTTAGGGTCCAGGCCCAGGCTTTATTTGAGGTATAGGGCTCGGGATTTCAAGATTATTGCTTGACGGTTCAAGGTTTCGGCTTACAGAAAACATACGACAACGTGGTCAAGTCTTGGGCTTGGTTTTTGGGCATCTCGGCGCTCACACTGAAACAAACTTTCCACAAAGCCTCAACCCCCCCTACTCCATCTAACAACGTGCACCAAAGCTGCCATTCCAACTCATGAGCTTCATGTTCACCGTTGAGACTGGGAATTTGATAAAATTGTGGTCCGTTTTGAGTCAGCTAGAGCCGAAGAGTTTTAGGCTTCTGATACTACCTGTATACCAGGACACCCAAAGCGCCCCTCAACCGCGCCCTGATGGTTCAGTAGGGTTTGGGGTGTATCGTAGGCGCATGTGCGGCGTCTGTACGAGGACTCTGTCAATATTTCTCACACCACTGAACTACCCACAGGCTCCATAGTAGTTCCTTTTTGGGATTACCTTATAGGATTCTATATAAGAAGGAACCACTATGGAGCCTTAGGGTAAAGCCCTAGCTAATGCTAAGCCTTGTGCCCTGGTAGGTGCCGACTTCGTTGAAGCTCTTAGTCCTGGTCAAAACCCAAGAGTAACCTAGGAAAAAAAAGAGTGCCCTTTTTGGTTTAAAGCGGCTTATAAGGAAACCTGAACCCTAAAAAAGGGACTAAGGAGATCGCCGACCCGCCTCGTCGCAGCCTGAGTCGGTAAGATGCAAGTTCACCCGGTAGCCTGGAAGGTAGTTGCTGTCCTCAATCTCCTGGCTCAGATCGGCTTTTGGGGATGTAGATAGTATAGAGGTTGCATTCGGGCTGCTCGATTTGAACCTGTTCCCATGTTCGAACGCAACCGGCTGCCGACGGAAGATCAGATAAGGGCGAGGTGCCACATCCACACAAAATTAAGGTGCATCAGTCAGAAACCCTTTCCAACCACATTAGCAGGGCATCTTCTGAGCGAGTTTCAGGTTCTGAAAAGTCTAGAAGCTTCATAAACCCTAAGCCCTAAACCGTCCACGAAACGAAAGCCGAAATTCTAAGCCGGGTTCCGAAAGCCTGCCAAGAAAAAGCCACTGTGTCTCAGCCTACTAGTACTTAAATTCTCGTAGGTTAGTCCACCGTAACATGCCCCAACAAGCTTTCTCTATAGAGTGGTTATAAAAACTTGAAAGGTATCCTGCAGAATTAATCTTCAAACAACCAAGCAAGTGATTCACAGCACAGCCTCAACTTTGCGAAAAGATCACCGACCCGACATGCATATGGATATTTGTCAAAATTATGGCCCTTTTTGGGTACCCTAAATATTAGGTGCCGTATTATAACAAGGACCCAAAAAGGGAATATAATTTTGACAACTACCCATATCGAACCTCGGAAGCCGAAAGCCGCTTAGTTGGGGGAAATATCTCATCTCATCTCCTGTGCTGCCAGGGCAAGGAGAGGTTCGGCCATCGTCATCATGTCCCCGATGACACCGGTGTAGGGGCTGATGACCTTGGCTTGCAAGCTCAAGTTCACGGCATGATTTGGGGGATTAGGTGTGTGTTGGGCTCCGGAATCAAAGCTTTCAGGGTTTGGGGTAGTGAAGAGTGCAAGGGTAGCTCTCAGTGTTTGGGCTCAGGGTGTGGAGCCACTCAGAGTGCTTTTAAAGACCTGCCTGCAGCATCCCTATGTGCTCTGCTCAGCTGAAGCGGCTGGCGGCAGTGAATGCAATGATTATCGCACGAGGTGCAGGAACAGAAGCATAACGCAGTAGTTCGACGACTATAACTACTATTGGTTGCACTACTATGCTTACTCTAACCGCGGGATTGTAAGCCCCCGAAGCCTCACATTACAGCACCCTTATAGGAACCTTAAAACTCTTAATTAAAACGAACCGGCAGCAATCCATAGCACCCTTGCAGCATCCTACCGAGGAAGCCCAAGGACCCTCTAAAGGAAGTAAGTCTTCAACCAAGTGGCCGCAATGTTGATGTCTTGCGCCGCTGCTCGGGTGGCACTGGGGTTCACATCCACGGTGCACTGTCCGCCATTGTAGTATCCTTGCATGGTGATTAGGACTTCGGGTTTAGAGGTTCAAGGATGTATAGGTTTAACGGTCTCTTTTTGTGGTGGGTTAGGTTTGCCGGTTGACGGATTCAATTCTTAGAGTTCAATTACATCAAGCGCTTGCCCAGCTTCTGCACGGCCAAGATGTACCTCCAGCCGCCGTACATACCTCAGAAGCACGGAAGGCTGCAACGCCACAACCTTGAAGAAAAGGCCCTCGGCTTGACTGTAATTATTCCAAAATCCCACCTGGGTAGTTGTCAACATTATGGCCCTTTTTTGGGTACCCGAAATATTAGGTGCCGTAGTATAATAAGGAGCCAAAAAGGGACCATAATTGTGACAACCACTCACCTAAAAGCAGCACTTCCGAAGCCCAACGCGGATTGAAGCGGGCCCCGTTTGTCGCAGGAAGTATCTATTCAATCCTGGCCCTCGCGCGGAACACTCTTAATGATGCCTCAACTAATCAGCCGTCTAGAACAGTAAACCCTCAAAGCCTGTATCTCAGGTACTGTCGCACCTTGTCGTTACCTCTTTTGTCGTACGAGTAGTTAGTTTCTCAAACCCTTCTTGGCCCGGTCCGCCAGCTTATGCCAGCTTCGTAAGGGCATCATATATGGGAGTTTCTGAAAATTAGGGGTACCTTATTTTGGGGTCCTTTTTAGAAGGATCCCCCTATTTAGGGTACTATATTAGGGTCCCCTATTTCCGGAAACTCCCATATCCTCTATAGTGGTTCTAAGGGGCCCGTGGGCTTTATGATGGTTATCTCTTCCAGCAGATCGCGAGTACTTCTCGGATTTCCGGCTCCTGCTCCTTTGCGCATGTAATGCATGTAAACTCATTTCTCTAGCAACACTGCCCTCTCCGCTGCACAAAGAGGGTTGCTTTGGGCATTCAGGTTTGAGGGTCTTCTCGCAACCTCAAGCCCCTACCCTTTACCCTAAACCCTAAACCCCTAAACCCTAGACCGAACTACCTCGTCTTGGAAACTGGCTTCAGGATTAGGGGAGCCACGAAATGCTATGTTTATTCCCTGACTCCCTACCCCAAGGCCCCAAAGTGGTTCCTTTTTGGGGTTCATAATATTATATAGAATCCTATAGGGTACTCCCAAAAAGGCACTACTTTGGGGCCTATGGGGCTCCCTAAAGTAACCCTAAACCCTAAACCCTAAAAATAAACCCTAAACCCTAAACAATAAACCCTAAACCCTAAAAAAATAAACCCTTTTAAAGACGAATGTACATGGTAGAACCCTGTTTCATTTTTCGCTCCTGAGGCCCAAAACCGCACTGGTCCAAAACTCAAAAGTTGAAACTTTCAGAATCGACAACCTTATAAGAACCCTAAGAGTTGAATGAAACTTTCAGAATTGACTACCTTATAAGAACCCCAAAAAGTTGAAAAGTTAAGTTTAAAGGCAATAAGAAACCCAAGATCCAGTTTTCCATCGCTGTCGAGTAAGTAACCTTCAACCGGGTGCCTTAATCTCTGCAGGGTCCCGATTATGGCCATGGTGGTCATTCGGAATACTCCTTAAGGCTGTCGAAGCAACAAAACCCTATAACCCGAATATAGAGGCCTTAGTAATTAGAATAGGGTTTTGGGGCCCATTATACTATAATCATAATCAGGAGCCCGCCCCGAATGGTATTGGTAATTACGGACCCCTATATTAACCCCAAGCCCGTGACTCGGAGCAGGGAGGTGTCGCGATGATCCTAAGTGGACACTGGCGAATTTGCTTGAAAGCCTTTGTGACCCTAATGCAGGGGCCTTAATAGTTAGAATAGGGTTTGGAGTCCCTTTATAGTATACTAATAATACGGAACCCTGAGGAATAATATTGGTAATTGTCTAGGCCTCTATAGTAGCTGCCCCCTAAAAGGCCCAGAGCTTTCACTCGAACACCCAAGCTGCAGCCCACGTAAAGGTGGCTCGAGGTGCCCCCCTTAAAGGAAACCCCCCCAAGGGCCTCAGGGCAGATCGAGACGGCGGAGGGAAGGAGGGTGATGAAGCCCAACCATGGAAAATTCATCTTCCCGACACCTTGTGGTCTTCATGTTTCTTCATGCTTTCGGGTTTAGGGTTTCGGAGGTTATAAAATCTTGACAGGGCCTTCTGTAGCCGTCGATGTCAGACCCAGCCTTTCGGACTGGGGGCGGGTTTTGGAGCTCCCTCGTCTAAAGGTCCAAGCATGTTGAACAGACCGTAAGACCTCACTTCTGACCAATTAATATAAGGGCCTTGATTATTCAAAGAGGGTTTTGAAGTATATTGTACTAGAAGTATAATCAGGAACCACCAAGATTGTAAAATTACCATACTAACTTAAAGAATTGTCTAACAAGGAAAACAGATGTGGAGATAACGAGTTTTCAATTGTTAAGGCCCCTAAATTTAACTCGGAGGTGTGCAACAGGGCTCAGAACGGGGTCAGCTCTCTCGGGGAGTTTCCGAAAATTAGGGTACCTTATCTGGGGGTCCTTACGATAGTGATCCTATTCTTTAGGGTGCTATATTAGGATCCCCTATTTTCGGAAACTCCCATATGGGACATTGGCGTGGCTGTTGTGCTTCATGGTTTCACGGCTCTTGGTTTCCGCATCGAAAGCCCAAGCACCGACGGTTTCCATGTCCACTAGTCAGAGTGTGGCGCTAGTCCAAAGTGTGATTTTTGTATGGTCTTATGGTAGAAGACTGTCAATACATAACAGGATATATGGATAGTTGTCAAAATTATGGCCCCGTTTGGGTCCCTAATATAATACGGCACCTAGTATTTAAGGTACCCAAAAAGGGACCCTAATTTTTGACAGCTACCCATATAGTTGTGTAGCTCTTCATATTTGTGGGACAACCCCATGCCTCGAGCCACTGGACTCAAAGCTCTGAAGCCTTTACTTCGCAGCTCTACAGTAGAAGTCAGAAAGTTGGAACATCAATCTACTCACGGCCTTAAAGGTAAAGTATAGGGGATCCCAGCACTAGTCATCCTAAATCCATGTTCCAACTTTCGGGGGTTCACTATAAGTCGTAAACCCCTCAAGCCTCACGCAAGAGCCCTGAGACCTAAGCCCCAACTCGGCACCTTGTTGGCTTTACCTATAGGCTCGATCGTAATTCCTTTTTGTGCTTTATATCTAGGATCCTGAAGGTAACCCCCCAAAATGAACTACAATGGAGCCTATAGGCAGCTTCCAAGGAGCTACCACAGGCTATGAACACGATGAGGATGCTGAGGGTGACGACAGCGATGACAGCTATTGTTGCTTTAGAAGTGTGCCCCTCTGTCCGTCACTCTGGACAACATGAACACTATAGCCTCATTGTGGGACGCAGGGCTACTGTTGTCTTTCAGCGGCTCTACACCCCAGACTTTGTTTTGCCACTGGACCCCCCAAACCTGAAACCTAAACCCTATAGGCCCAACAAATAACATAACTTATTTCAGGCGAGGTGGCCCGAGCACTCGGACAAACAAACCAGGCCGGGAGAGATTCCTAGGGGTCCGCTACTCCTTGGCCTGAACCTGAGCGGCGACATGGGAGTTTCCGAAAATTCAGCACTCACAACTAGACAAGCAGGCGAGGATTCAAGGTACCTTATTTGGGGTCCCTTATAATAAGGATCCTACTATTTAGGGTACTGTATTAGGGTCCCCGATTTTCGAAAACCCCCACATCGCAATTTGGGGTACACTCGTACGAGGCAGAGGGCTGCAGAGTTTCAGGGTCTGGGGCTTCAGGGTGTTTGGTTTACAGTAACAGCCAGAAAGTTGGAATATGATTATCCTAAACCCTTTATGGTAAATTATAGGGTATCCTACCCTGAAATCATATTCCAACTTTCTGGAGTTCCCTTTAGGTTTACGATACCGGACAGGCTAGATGAGGTTTGTGTTTCGCAGTAGTCAAACCTCCCAACTAACTCTCGCAACCTTGAGCGAAACAACAAACATAACCTGGCAGCGCTTAAGCCCAAAAATCTGCTACCCCAGAGCGCTGAAACCCTAAACCTTCAAAGTGCGACGACATCCCCCAAACGGGGCCAGTCCCCAAAACCCTGAGAAAAAAAGACCCATCCCTCACAGCGGGGGGCAGAAGGGAGAAGCTGAGCCACTTGTTGGAAAGCCGTGTTAGGGTGCATGGCAACGGATAGCATACTTGTTCCAAGTGTTTCGAGTTTAAGATTTAGGGCTAAAGTGGGTTTAGAGTCAGGATTCCCCGGTCACGGGTACAAGGGTACAAGACCTTAGGGTTTCAAGGTTTAGAATTTAGTGTGCAGGAATCGGGATGCTTCCACCGAGCACTTCAAGGATGACGAAGGGCAATTGGAATAGGGTCTGAGGCAACGTGATATGCAGTCTAGCGGATGTCACCTACACAACGATGAGGTACAAATGGCTCACACAGCCAAGCTCCTACTTGCATCAAGCATCTCGCTATATAAAGCTGGGCACTAGTCACTAGATCAGCTGGCGGGACGCTACGAACTGAACTGAAGCCTGGCCCCAAAACCCAACAAAAGCTGAACATCCAAGAGTCTCCAGTTTTCAAGCGTGTGCATTTGGGTTGCTCAGCTTCGCTGCAGGCTGTCTCAGAAAATGGGGTTCTCGCGTTGAAACATGCCGCTGAAGCTTAGGAACTTAGGGATCAAGTGACTTGCGTATTCCACTGCTGGGTTTCGCAGAGTTTGAGTAGGGGATTTGGGTTGCATCCTTCTACACCTGATCCGTCAAGGGGCGGCATTGCATCTGGTGCTCCGAACTGTGAACCCCCTGTGTCGTTGCCGGGCGTTGTGGGAGAACTGGTAGGAAGGCTTCAAACTAAGCCTCCCCTCCATGGAAGAGAGGCACGAGAAGCACGGCAGCCATGGCTATTCTGGACAGTTGGGGTCCACGTGGCGATTACTTGCCTTTGGTTAGTGGGGAATGGAAGAATGGTAGTAATATTAGTTATACTTGTACCCCATTCCTCGATTCGCGCCCCTTCAATGCCGCATGGTTGGAGTTTGAGGATTGGGGCTAACGTCTGAATTTTTTTTTAACTGCTAAGGCCCGCACGAAATTGTCGTTCCCCTAAATTCCCGAGTCCCCCATCCAACCCCTCGAAGGACACCATGAAAACCTACGAAAGGGATGACACACACACACACACACACCAAAAAGCCTAGATGCGCATGCCAAAATAGATGAGAACATCATATAGCAGCCCTTAGGTGCTTTAGATGTGCGTACAAAGATAGGTGTTTGGTGACAACGGTTCAGAACGCATCACAGTTCATCCACATTGGGGGGAGGAAGAATGAGCTAGACTAAACGACCAGCGGTAAGTATTCCGACCCCTTCGGGTTCTAAAGCTCAAACCCTGAACCCCTGTATACCCTCTCTTCGTGAATTTGGGGGACGACTTTCTGTTGGTTGGTGACCACGAAACGTCGGCCTATATGAGGGTTCAGAGTTTATGGGCATTTACGGGTTTAGAGCTTTGGGTTTAGGGGTTTCAAGCTGTTTTCACGGTTTGGAGTCTAGGCAGAGCCGTTGCTTCGCGTGCAGGATCGGCGCTTGGCAGCGAGAAGTAGGACAGTTTCTGCCACTGTCTAGCGAGTGCCAACTATCTTCGAATGTCCTGGTTTGTATGCTGGGCTGAGACTCATCCTGCGGTTGATCGACGAGCATAGTTAGTGTTGCGACTACTGTGACTGCTGACACTGCGTGATGGGGTGGCAGTGTGGTTGCTGGTGGTGGCGGTGCATTGGTGTTCGCCGTCGTCGAAACGACTGCCGCGACTATGACAACCTCCACCACGACTCCTGCTGCTGCAGCAGCTGCTCAACCTCCTGCTACTACGACGACGACTGCTACTACTTGTTGTTACCACTGCTACGGCTGATGCCTCGACGACGACGCACCATCAAACCAACAACATGACCACTGCAACCACGATTCTGACCAAAGCTGGCTTTTGTGTTAGTACGTAGGTCACTGCGCACGACAACTGTGACTAACACTATCCTCACGATCAGCGTTTGAACTGGAAACTGCACCGACTTCCTGTTTTTGTAGCATTGGTCTTCTCGGCATGTTCTTTACGTGCTGAGGTCGCGTAAACGACGATTTTTGGCGAAGCTGCCTGGCAACAAATACCGCCGCAGGGTACGTCCGACGAACTTTGCGACTCTATGCACGGACCTTGGCACTCACCTCGGAAAATGCTGCCGTGATGCCCAAGACGGGCTCCCAATCCAAAGTCAACACTTTGGTCTTGGCTATCCTGCTTAATGGGCCAGTCTAAGCAGCAGCATCGCATCTCCATGCTTTGCAGTGGAGTATTGCCGATGCACGCACTTCTTGCAAGGTTTGCTTGGATGGTGAGGTACCCTCAGCCCTTTTGTGTTGAAACCTGTCACAAAACCTTTTCTGCCCTACAACATCAAACCGCTCACCTGACTGCTGAGTTCCGTGCTACCTAGAATCCTCAATCCCGACTCGGATCGACCGTGGCTTACAACCGTGAACTTTTCGGTGCGAGAATCCCTCGACCAGAACTATATGCATTATGGCAGGACCCTCTAGAAGCAACACCTGAGCCCATCTGGAATGGATGACTAACCAAGTCGTACATGTGCAGATTAATGGCTGCCTACTCAGGACCTACTTTGGAATTCTGGCGAGACAGAAGAAAGAAGCTCAATTGATAGGGCTTCGGTGCCAAGCAAACCTATTCGATCGTCGATGCGACTCTGCCTGCCTTAGCAGGCTAAAGCAAGCTTGTCCAGGTTGCCTGCCCACATACAGAATGCCTCCCACAAATGAAAGCCATGCAGGCCATTTATCGGCTGGGAAACCATGAACCCTAAACCCCTCAATCCGAAATTAAGTAGCCACTTCACCGGTGATTACAGACTACAAGCTTCCCCTGTACCGAAAGTTACTATGTAGTGCCCTCTTGTTTTTGGTGTCCAGGGTCAAACGGTTGCAAGGGCACGGGTCTTGTTTTCCGTTCTGAGCACGAAGTTTTGGAGCTTTGGGAAATGTCGTGCGAAGAGGGCTCGAGGTTGGCCAGGCGACAAAGTCAAATTCTGTGTGATTTCGGCACGGACAAGTAGATCTTCAATGGAAATCTTGAGGACAGAATGACTTCAAACATCAACGCAGAACACCTCAACCCTAAACCAACTGCTATATGTATATATGAAATGTATATACATATATATATATATATACCTATGTATATGTACAATATGTATAAGATGTATAACATACATATATACATATATACATACATACAGCACCTGATAGCACCCAGTACGTAGAGCACACGTGCACGACGACCCCAGGACCCTAAGGCCTGTATTGCCGACCAGACCGTGAATCCTAAACCTTAGGTTGAGCCAGGACCCCCAAGTCCCTTTATTTAGCCCTTATGGCCCTTAATGCAGGTAAACACCGAAGTCATAACAAAAACGATGGGCGAGCCTTCCCGCAACTAACTGCGCGTTACGACTGATTTTCGGAAGTCGTAACAAGATCGCTTTCCACCATGTAACCGCGGGATATTTGAGCAGTCTGCAAAGTCGCTTCTGCAAGTGCTGATAAGAAGTCATAACATTTGCCCTTTCCCCCAAGTAACGGCGCCTGACACACAACACAGTTTACGGACCGTGTCTGAAAGTACGCTGGGGCGCATACCCATGCATACTCGCGCATATACTCGCGCATACCCACGTATACTCGCGCATGCTCACGCACACTCGCGTATACCCTATACCCATGCATGCTCGCGCATACCCCGGCGAAGTCGCGCATACTCGCACACACCCCGCACATTATCTAATTACTCACGCATTCCCGTGCATAGCCGCGCCTTCATAGTGGGTATTGGGGTATATTAGAGGGTAGTTGGGGGTATAGGTTGAGGGTTAAGTTCTAGTCTTCGACGCTGCGGTGCATCGGTGGCAACCTGGTAAGTCAGCTTTTCGGTTACACTGGTGTGCAGACACCGGATGGCTTGGGCCATGTGACAAGAACAGAGCCTCAATCATTCGGAAAGGCGTCGATTGAATGCTCTGTACGGGATCTATAACTCTATAGCTAGTAGGTTTGGGGCCTGATAAAATTTGAATTGGGGCTTCTTACAGGGTCCTTTGAGAGGTTCTACGTTTCAGTCTTAAGGGGTTTAAGAGTTGTCGGAGAACTAGTATATAGACTACCATGTCCTTAAGGTTTAATTAGGGGCATTAATGACTAGAGTGGGTTTCTTTCAAGATGTTTTTGCAATGGGTCCTACAATGGATCTGCATCCTACTTGTCGGGTATCATGGCGAACTAAAGGTTAACCTTTTTGGTTATATAGAGACTATACTACCCAAAAAAGGTTAAAGGTTGCCTACTCTACTACTAGGGTATTATTGTGGGTTCAGGGGCCTGTCGTTGAAGGGCCGCAGTCGCTTGAATCGGTCCCTGAAGTGGGTGGTTGTCAAAATTAGGGTCCCTTTTTGGGTACCCTAATTAATAGGTGCCGTATTAGGGGCACAAAAAGGGACCAGAATTTTGACAACCACCCAGGTGTCTCTGGGGCCCCCCTACTTCAACTGGTGAGCAAGAAAGGGTCCTTTTCAAGAGCGCTTGGATCAATCCAAGAGGTTTCAAAGCCCAAAGGGTCCAAGCATCATTATGGTCTATACTTAGAGGGTATTTTGTGGGTCTAAGTATATACCATAATGATGCTTGGACCCTTTGGGAAGGGTTCAAAGTTTTCTCTCATGGGTCTATACGGGATCAAGGCTTTGAGCGATTAAGCGCCCTTACCGCCTCCAATAGGGCTTCCGTCAGGGCCCTTGGGGGGCTTGCATAAGAAATCTTTAAGGGTTTCAGGGCTTTGTGATGGTGGTGGGGGAATTTAAAATTAAAAAATACAACTAAGGTGAGGAAATCCAACAAAAAGATCAATAATCCTTAAAATAGTTCAATGATTAGTCAAGCGCGCTTTTGGATGTCAGGGCTCCCTATGCTTAGTGCTTCGACTCTCGCACTGGCAGGTTTTGCCTCCACAGGTTTTGAGCAAAACCTGCCTGCAAGTGTGTGAGTCGAAACACTAAACAAACCGAGGCCCGTTTTAGGGTTTGGGCTTGTTTGACCTAGATTGGGACTCCGTTGGCTAAGGGCTTAGGGTTTAGAGGGGTTTAAGGTTCGAGTAGTAGCTATGCAGACCCTGCATCCAACTCGACGCCACAGATCGCAGAAGGGCGTCGAGACTAAACCTGCCTCCTGACAGTAAAGATATGCTCCAAATACAGTTGTCTTCAGAATCTAAAGCCACGCAGATTGCGAGGGCTCGCTCAGCGCATCAGGTGCCCCGGGCTTGCGTGGCTCTTCGTCTTTCGGCGCTTCGTCCCGGGGCATCTCCTGAGTCGTTAGGAGTAGGGCCGGTCCCTTACATTTCGACCATAAACCCCCCCCAAGGCCCCAAAACCCTAAAAACCCTAAACCATATTTCTGTGTGTGTTACGATGGAAAGGCCGATCGGATGAGGCACCTGCAATGCTGCAGCCTTGTGCTCTGCCATGGCTTCCTGCTTCTCCTCACATGCTTAGAGGCCATGAGGCTTCTGGCATCTCCGGCGATTTCGGGATTTGCTTCGGGAATGCTGCTTCTGTCTGTTGGAGGGAGAGGGAGAAGTGCACGAAAGATTTGACATGATCAAAACAGGATTGGGATGCAAATGGAGAAGCCTTGGGAGTCTGAAACAGAACTTCATGATTCTTTCAGAAGCACGAGCGACGCCAACATAGCGGAGGATCCAAAACGTATCTTTTGCTCTATCTCCGTTCCACCGGTAAAGTATACTATAAGCCATAGACCCGCAATGTCGAGTGAAATGCTCGTCGGCTGGACACGGGCTTCACACACACACACACCCAAGAGCTGACACCGCATTGCTCATACTAACACTCCTTGTCAGGGAACCTCGCGTGCTTTTTTTGTGGGGGACACGAACCTAAAAAAGGCCCATGCCCCTGAGAAACGGTACGAGTAAGACATCATAGGACTTACGGACCCTACCATGCACAGAAACCACCAGGATGGATCCTCAACACGATAATTAGCGGCAGGCGAAGCGCTGTGCATTAGTCTTCCCCACGTGGGAACCTTTTGTCGGGAGAGTTAAAGGAGTTGAAGGCATCGCCTGTTCTATTCAGTAGCTCATGCAGCCCGTAGGGCAGTCACGGGATTATGCTTCCTAACCTATGTCATGTTCCTTGACGCTCCAAGTCGCCTTGCTTAGCTGGAAGCTCTTACGACATGTAGCTGATGACACCCCTCTGGGACTGGTGACATGTGACGTCCTTGGTTTGTCGTCACTGCTCGTGACTGAGGACATCAAAAAAGAGCCCCTCAAGGCTCGAAATCTCATGCAAACACAAGGGGTCCCAGGCTGGTAGCTGAGAACTTCTTGAGGGTTAGGGGGAGTGAGGGTTTGGGGCTCGCTTCAGGCTCAGAGTTTGCGATTCTGCGACAGGCATCAGAATCTTTGAGGCTTCTTCGAGCCTTACGCGATGGAGGCCCATACATTGAACATTCAACTGACAGGCATTGAGACAAAGGAGTCAATCAAGAGTCACCCATAAAGTTTACAAAGTTTATGCCCAAACAGCAAAGGTCCTTGTCAAGGTCCTTGTCCTTTCCGGCGGATATAAAGGACGAAGTGGAGACCAAACTGCGAGGAACAGCTCGGTTCCCTCTCTTGATAAAAGGGGAGGGAGTAGTTCTGCGAAGGGTATATGAGGTGTCCGGTGTTTCGGAATCGTGCTGAAAGAGCACAAGGGGCATGCTGAGTCAGTATGTTAATTCCATGGCGATGATGAGGGAATGTGGTAAGCGAACTCTTTGCGACTGCTGATTGGAGCCACGCTTCGGGCGTGTCTACAGAACGTCTGCTCCGCAGCCCGCTTCACCTGGATTGGAGTAATTTGACATCCGAACCGTACTCCCTGAAGCTCAAACCCATCTTGCACTCTTGCCTTTCTGAGTTTGGCGAACTGGTGCGAGGAAAGCCAGCCATTGTTGTGTGGCTTAGTAGATGCAACGGCAGTACATACCAGTTGCTTCAAGATCGGTTGAAAAGAACACGACCTTACAGTTCATAGCTACAGGTGGCAAGGGCCGTTGTGCATGCATGCATGTACGTGTATATATACATGTATACACACATGTACAATATATATCTATATATATATATATATAATATGTATATATATATATATATAATATGCACATAATGTAAATGTGCTTAGTATAACGATGTGCATGCAGGCACACATGTACACACCTTATTATACATGCATACAGACATACGTGCGTTCGTACCTGCGTACATACAATCATATATACATACATGCATAAATACGCGAATAAATGAATGCATGCACGCATACATACGTACATGCATGCATACAGGGGGCCTACGTACATGCATGCGCATGCATACACACATACAAAATATACCAGCTACATACCTGCATACAGACAAACAAGCAGACCGACAAAAGACAAACAAACATACAACATGTGTATTGCACTTCAGGTCATTACATTGCACAACGCATTACATTGCCCACTAGATCATTACGTCAGATTACTTCACAGTACTTCACTACATTGCAGTGCATAACAACTAACTACAGCATTGCACAATTCTAGATTGCAGTGCAATGCATGCATGCACGTTTGCACACACACACACACATGTAAACAAGGGATTTGCGAAGGCTCCACTGCCGGCAACACCGTAAATTTTAAAAGTCTACCATTCTGGGTTTGCAGGCTCGGCCAAGCTGCAGCCTTGCATCCTGAAGCATTCATGTCGAATCAGTTTGAACTTAGTTCTGTCCTAAAGAAGCTCAAACCAGAGACCACAGGCCAAAGAACCAAACGCGTTAAGGTTCAGGGCTTAGGCGAGGGGGGGTCGATTTCGGGTGCGCGCATTCGGTCTGCACAGGTGAGGCACGAGTTAGGATTCCAAAAGTTGATTTTACACTCTTTTTCACTCTCACAACTCGGACAAGCCAGGCGATACAGGGCCATTGACGGCCCATCTGGGAGTTTCCGAAAATAGGGGACCCTAATATGGTACCCTAAATAGTAGGATCCTTATAATAGGGACCCCAAAATAAGGTACGCCTAATTTTCGGGAAACTCCCAAACCCTAAACCCTAAACCCTATAGATCCCTTATAGGAGCCCTTAAAGGAACCCTTATAGATCCCTTTAAAGGTACCCCTATTTTCGGGCCCATCTTGTTGACGAGCGGCTGGGACCGCCGCGCAAGAACCAAAGACTGGTCTCCCACCTCCCGAAGGAAGAGCCGTGAATCGCACCCTGAACCCGAAACCTTATTCGTTTAGGGTTTAGGGTTTAGGTATTCTTGATGTCGGGCTTCGGGATTAAGGTCGTGCGGTCTTCGTGATCGTCTCCAGGAAGGTAGTTGTGAAAAGATAGGTAACTTGGCAGAAGACTTCACTCCAAGGATGAGGGCGCAACTGACAATGGGCCTTGCAACACCTATAATCTTAAGGGCCTATGATTTTGGATTGGGCGCTCCCTGAAAGTGTCGGGGTTGGATTCCCTAAACTACCCTTAACCCAGAACTTAAGCCTGAGCCTCACATAGTCACAGGCTATACTTTCCCAAAATATAGTAACCTACAGAACTACTGTCCTAAACCCAACTACCCGACTATTGGGCCCTTCGGAGCCCTGGGCAATACTTTAGGAATCGGGTTTGCCTTTCTGGCACCAACCCGGGTCCTTCTGGATCAGAATTTGCGGCTCGATGCTTGCAGAAACAGCCACTCCCAACTCCGAAACTTATAAACGCTAGACTCTGAAACAGCAAAAGAATTAAACTTTTCCAACGCGAAAACCCTGAAGGCAAACCCTGTAAGTTCCTAACATGCACAGCACAAGCGATCCCTGCCATACAAAACTCAGGGTGAAAGCAGAAGCGCCAAGCAAGGACACACACCCACATGACAAAACCACACACAAACACACACACACACACACACACACACACACAAACACACACACACACACAAACACAGAAAGCTGCAAACGGCTGGGCAACCCAAACCCTAAACCCTACTTAGGGGCAGGATTATTACGTAGGTCCTTGGGCTAGAGCCCGAAGTCTAAAGCCCAAACGCTACGACAAATGCAAGAAATCTAGCAGGGCAGCATGACAATATCATGTAATACAGCAAAAAAAGATGGTGCACCCTCAAGGCGCAGGTCCCTTAGACTACCTTAACCTAAACAACCCTAAACCTTACACTACCTTACCTTAATTAAACTTAACAACCCAGGAATTTGTGCTCGGGAGACCCATCTCTAGCACCTCGGAGCCAACAGCCGTTATGATCTGCGCCGTCATCCGCAAGTCGTAGATGGAAAGGTTCCTTCGTGTTTAGCTGTGCTTCTACGCAGGTCTCTCTCTCTCTCTCTCTCTCTCTCTCTCTCTCTCTCTCTATATATATATATATATATATATTACCGTTTTGCTTTTGACAAACACATGCATCTACAATATATACATACGCTTACAACATACATACAGACAGACATACATACATACATACATGTGTGTATATTTATCATATATATATATACAGTTCTGTGTGTGTGTGCTTATGCCTCTGAACATGTGTATGGCCGTGTATGACTGATTTATGGAGTACTTGCACATCCGCAACCGAGAAGCCCATGCCCGAAGAGATGCCTTGCTACCAGGAGCTAATTACTGTCTCCTTCAATAACCGGGCCAAAAAAAGTTTAAACTTTCTAAGATAGACCAAATATATAAGGCCAAAAAGTTTAAAGTTCCCCCATTGGCTATCTATTTTCATGCCCTGGGTTTCCAGGGTTCAAGGTTTGAAAAGGTTTGGGGTCGAAGAGTTGGGGTCTTCGGGTGTTTCGGTGATGGCTGAAGAGCTGAGGGTTCATCGCTATAAACCCTGAACCTAAACCCCTACAGTGGCACAAACCCGATTGCTGAGGGTCAGCGCCGCGCCAAAAATGCACTGTCCCGGAGCATCACTCACTACTACATCTACTACATCTTTCAATAGATAGACAAGCATCTATGCAACTACAGTCCGATCTACGTAGGCCCCATAAAAAAAACCGATCCCGAGGGCTCCCCCAAACCCTGAAAGCCTGTATCCTTGCGAAGTAGGGATTAGTCAGAGGAAGACCTCAACTGCATGGCCTGGGGTGCGGTCCGTTTTTCTTTGATTCAATGCGGATGTAATTATCCAAGGGACGCTCGAAGAGAAGTGTAATATGTGTAGCACTTAACCAACATCCTTGTACTGGTGCCCCAACAGCCCGATCCTGTCCCTAGACTCGAAAACCGGAGTCCCCTACTTGCTGTGACAGGCTTCGAGAGCAATTGGGCGAAGTTATCCTCGCCCAGCTCCTGCGAGCGCTCAGTGTCAGCCCTCGCCTAGGGTTCTTCCACCAGAAACTGCTTACAGATATAGCCGAATGCCGAATATTGAACACATGGCTTGATATCCACAGCTAAATGACGATAGGGAACATTCTGGATGTTGGAAAAACTTCTCAAGAGATGTTGATGTTGGTCTCAGGGTTCAGGGGGAGGTCGTAGAGCCATGTAGAGCCATGGTTTAAGAACCAAGTGTCAGGAAGCATCCGAATCCAAAAGAACAACCAGTCACTGAACACTCCTAGCACTGGACCACAAGCCCAGTTCAGTCTTTTTCATCTTGAATTCAGCTGCACTCCTGGAATGAGCTTCAGTTCCCTTCCTGATACACTGGTCTTGGGCTTCCAGTTTTTAGAGATGACAATAATCGAGGGCATGTTCTACTATCATACTTATAACGTGTAACTTCACGGAAGAAGATTGGCAATTGTTCTTTAGTCCCAATGCAAGAACATATTCTTAAACTTTGTTCTGTTCCTGACGGCCCCAAGCCCAAACCTCCAAGAATAGAAGCCTTCTGAAACCCTTCGAGGCAGATCAACAAGTTCAGCTTACAGGGCTTGGCATTCATCCGGTTCATCTTAGCATCTCTCTGTGGGCAGCTCTCGGGGCACCATCAGCTTGTCCAAACTCCGAGAATGGAGCCTCAAGAAGATGAGCACAGGAGACAATACCCAAACCGAAACATGGGAGCCGTGTATATTGCATTTTGTTTATTATATTGTGTGATTGTATTATACTGTAGTATATTATATATATATAGAGAGAGAGAGAGAGAGAGAGAGAGAGAGAGAGAGACCGAAGCAAGAAGTCGTCCAAACGTCTCCTTGATTTTGGAGCAAAGTATGAGGAACTTGTTGCTGAGCATCTCTGGTTGCGGAATTCTGCCTGGCTGACTGGCATACAAAAGACTCCAAAGCAAGGATGCCCATACTTGTGCATATGCTGACCCGAGCTAGAAGCATGCAAAGTTGAGAATGCGGCATAAAGGAAGGACCCTAAACCCTAAACCCCTAGCCCCTCTCGGCTGCTGGTCGTTGTGCATATAAAGGGTCCATGTGCCCAAATAGTATCCCTAAGGGTTCCTGTAGAAGGGGTCCTTAAGGGTCTAGGGGTATTTAGGGTATATAACTTATATTCGGGTCCATGTGCCCAAATAGTATCTGCTTTGACCCTAAAGTACCTAGTCAGGGACTACATTGAGGCCAAAGTATATGATGCATGAGTACATGAGCCCTTGAAGATATGTGCAAACATAAAACAAGAAAAGCAGCCGCAGGTTCTTGCCAGCAAAAGATGTCCAAACTGAAGGGCCCAATCTCCGAGTGCGCTAGCATGCTATCATTCCTTTAGGGTTTAGGGTTTATGGGTTTAGGGTTCAAGGTTGGGCCATAATCACCGAACCCGAAGCCCACCAACACAACGGTTCACGTCAATTGCCAGGAATGGGTCAAAAGTCCAAAGCCGCATCAGCTTCAGTTTCGGGCCTAAAACATAAACCTTAAATCCTTGAACCCTAAACGCTTAGGCCTCAGCGCCTGATTAAACCCTAAACCCTTGCCCCTTGAACCCTATGCTGCAGAAGATCACCCATGCACGGAGGCAGTCCAAGTCAGTGCGAAACACTGGGCGTGAAATACACAAAGAGGGGTCTTTTTCAACGCGCAGAATTCACGAGCACAGCATTGAATCTGCGAGCGGTTTGCCACGAAAGCGGTCAATCTGCAATAATGGGAACCCCCCAAACCTACAAATACTCCATAACCCGAAACCCTCCAAACCCTAAACGGAGTATGGACAAATAGTGCTGGGCATCCATATACATTACTCTTAAGGGTTGAGGCTATTGGGTTTCCAACTTTTGGGCTTCTACGGTAAGCCTTAAAACCCCCAAACCCTGAACCCAAAGCCCTAAAACCCTAAGGCCTAAAACCCTAAACCCTAAGCCCTGAAACCCCAAACCCTACGCCCTAAAACCCCGTAAGCCGTACAAGACAAGGGATGGCCCTACAAAGTCGGGCCTAGAGCGAGTATCACGCTCTCCTGTGAGCCGCCCATGACATTCAGACCTCGCGCAGGGTATACTATATAGGTACAGGCGCCTTAACAGTTAGAAAAGGGTTCCTTTAAAGGGGTCTATAAGGGTTACAATACGGGTACTCTGAGATGGGGGCCAGAGTAGTTATAGTAGGGTTTTGGGGGCCCATTATACTAAGATGAAGAAGCCCCCCCAAAGTGGTATTGGTAATTACTTAGGCCCCAATAGTATAGGATTTGCAGGGTGCAGTTTCGTTCGGGTTAGGGATTTGGGGCAAGTAGTGCTCAGGGATTTCTAGGGTGCAGGGTTTAGGATTTAGGCTTCAGGGCATATCACTCTGATTGATTTGGGCACAGATGGTGGAAACTTCTTCAACCCTATGCCTATGCAGCTAACAGTACTCTGGGGGCCTGAATCGCTCGAGGCTGGTACTTTCGGGGTCTAAACATAATCATCAATGCTGTATTTTGGGGTTCCTTAATGTATAGCTTATAATGACTCGAGACCCTATTCCAATTATGAAGGGCCCTATGGTATCCTGGCTTTCTGGCAGGCTCAATCCTGAGCTCCGCGACTACTGTCGGGGCCTTAACAGAACATGTACTGTATTACAACAATGTATAAGAAGGAACCCTAAGGATAATGTTGGTAACTATGTTTTGGCTTCTACATCACTCACATCGACTGAACAATGCCCGCAAAAAAAACCATAGAACCCCGCCGTCCGTAAGAGGTGGTGACTCAAGAGAAGGCTCTTGCAATCTATGCAAGCCCCAAAGGAGGATTAACTAGGCCCGGACCTAGACTTTAAGGGAGTTTGCTAAGGCCGCTGCCCGAAACCCTGAACCTTGACATTCTACGCGCATAATGGCGGGGCCTGAGTAATTGGTATAGGGTTTTGGGGGTTCCTTCATATTGATTATAGCATAATATACCCCAAATCCCTATTCTAATTATTAAGGCCTCTACAATACGATTGCGGACACCGGTCTTGGATCCCCATCCCTTCAACAGTGGCTTTTGGGGTGCGAGCAGCGTATCAGTGCAGAGGCAGTGACACAGAGCATCAAAAACACCATGACCTGAACTGATGACTACGCTGCGGGCGGCACGTAGTGACCCAAGCTTCATCATCTCCGCATGTTTTCACAATGTGTGTACATGTGTACATATACATACACCATGCATACATACCTAAACACATATGTATGGACGTGTATATGTATACCTACATGTGTGTGTGTGTGTATATGCCTGCGTACATGTACATGTACATGTACGTACGTACGTATGTCAATATTGTGGTCTCAGATAAATAACAAAGACCCGAGAGCCTTGTTCGCGATTCTCGACCCCATCAGCCGTGAGGGGAAAGACCCGAGGTGCCCGAAAGACCGAAGCCTACTCATAGGCCCCAAAGTAGTTCTTTTTTGGGATTACCTAATAGGATTCTATATATGAACCCCCAAAAGGAAGTACTTTGGGGCCTCTGGGTACACCCTACAGCCCGGTTTAAGGGTTTCGGCGCTCACACTTGGACCATCCAGGCGAGGCATACTCTTCGGAGTCTGCTGAGTGAAACTTCACTAAGAGTTTGAGGGTCTAGGTGTTTCGCCTTTAGGGTTTAGGGTCTAATGTAGGAACCTGATTAAGAAACCCTGGGCCTCTATAACCCCAAAGTAGTAGAATTCAGATCAGGAGCCCTGGTAAAGGCCCAAGGCTTCTTGATCAGGTTCCTACATTAGGGGTTTATGGGTTTAGATTAGAAGGGGCCCCCCACCCTGTAATAGTGACTATAAGGATTATATTAGGGCCCTATTATATTCCTATTATACCACTTACAGGGTGGGGGCCCCTTCTAAGGTTTAGGGCTTAGGGGCCTTCTACTAAAGCTCAACTGCAGCAGCCACAGGCTCCAAACCCCTGACACCAACACCCAACACATCTCTTAAGCCACGCAAGCCGATATCCCGTGGCTTTCCTGGCTCCTATCCAATAGGGTCATACCCTATCCTCGTTTCGAAAACCTACTTTTCGATATAACAGATCCGAGCGCAAAAATCAGGAAGTACCCTAAAGAAAGGAGTGGTTTTGACTCTTTTGACCGTCGACGTAGAGGTTCGTGCCTTTCTGGGTTGCCCTGTTTCTTCGTGTCATCTCGTGCTTCGCCAGCCAGTGCTGAAGACTGGCAACCATCTGAACGCTCTGAGCATCCTGTGTGCCAGCCTTTCTACGCCCTTTTGCATCCGGTCTGCAACGACTCTACCGGCCTTTCAACGCCCTAAACCCTGGAACCGGAAAGACAAAAGAGCAAACTGCAGCAATCTTAAGAACCTATGGCCTGTGGCTCTGAGCACGAAGGAGCCTGGAATCAAAGCTTCGGGTTGAACCGGGCGACGTTGAGAAACGTGATGATTCCGATGACCGCGCTCGTCAGCCTCACAGGCACGAATCGCCAGAGCATCCGTACAAATTAGGGTCTAGGGGCTGAGGGGTTTGGGGGTTCAAGGCTTCGGGTTTAGGGTGCAATAACGCCTCAAAATCCATCTACCAACCGTTCAAAACTGACACTTTCAACCAAGATAGCTGCCACTGCCGCCCACGAAAATCCGCATGAACCTGTGCCAACTGATGACCTGAAAAGAACAACCTAATGCGCTTCATGTTGTGTATACAGGGGAAGACAGAGAGAGAGGGAGGGAGGGACAGAGAGAGAGAGAGAGAGAGGGAGAGGGAGAGGGAGAGGGAGAGGGAGAGGGAGAGGGAGAGGGAGGGAGGGAGAGAGAGAGAGAGACAAAGAGAGAGAGGGTGAGAGAGGAGAGGGCGAGTGGATTAGAGTATAGATGCATGAATACACACACACACATCCATCCATCCATCCAGCCAGCCAGCCTGCCAGGCAGCCTGCCATCGAGCCATCCATCGATCCATCGATCCGTCGATCCGTCGATCCGTCGATCCATCGATCCATCCCTCCATACATCCATCCATCCGTCCAGCCAGCCAGCCAGCCGGCCAACCATCAATGCTTCCATGCATTCGTAGAGCTATGCATGAATACATGCATGCACCGAAACGTGCATGCAAAATACATGTGTGTATATATATATATATATGTATATATATATACACACACATAAGGTACGGTATGTTTACACACACACATACATACATACATACATACATACATACATACATACATATATATATATGTATGTATATATATATATATATATATATATTATATATTATATATTATATATTATATATTATATATTATAATATATATATATATATATATATATATATAGAGAGAGAGAGAGAGAGAGAGAGAGAAACCCTTTACATGTGCAGACCTCGTATATACGTGTGAGTATGTCGCGGTGTGGTGTGATCTCAACGCCGGTTCAATCAACAAACAAAGGAGTTTGGCACCGTGAATGGGGGCCAGCTTTGGAACAACTCCCAGATGTTCAAATAAGTGAAATCAGCCACGGATCTGTGTCTGGAGCAGTACATGCACATGAAAAACTATCAAATCTTCTTTTAGCAAGTTATGTATAAATGTACTCACACACATATATGTATACGTATTTTGTAATTTTGTAAATAAACGTACATTCATGCATGTAAACGCACACACACACACACACACACACACACACACACACACACACACACACACACACACACACACACACACACACACACCCACCCACCCACCCACCCACCCCCCCGCCCGCCCACCCACCCACCCACCCACCCACCCACCCACCCACGCACGCACGCACGCACGCACGCACGCACGCACGCACGTGTGTATGTATGTATGTATGTATGTATGTCTTCCGCACTAACATAAGCACATATGCGCTCGCATGCTCATTGGCCTTTGCTGGATGTCGGAGCTCAAGTCTGGAGCGAAAGCACCCAGGATTGCCATCCTCAGACAAAGGCCGGCTTCAGGCTTCGGGGCCTGAAGGGCCTACCTATAGTCTCCATTGTAGTTCCTTTTCTTGGTTTAAGCAATTCTATATTAGGGATCCTAGCAGGTAACCCCAAAAGGAACTACAGTGGAGACTATAGGTAGGTTCCAGGGTTGAGGGCTTGGGAGTTAAGGATTTAACTCGTACATGTTCGTTACATGCTCACGGCTTTAACATGGCGTTGCAGTATAGGGATGAAGGGTGGTCAGGACATAGATTCAGGGTTGGTGCTATTGGGTGCACCCTCACACTCGGATTTTCTGCTGCAAGAGACTGCAAGGCTCTCTATTCAAGTCTCTCAGTTCTCGATCCCTGGAGATCCTGCTAAGTTCATAGATGGGGTGGGGCATCTGTAGCACGTCTTGCTACCTTCCAGGCGCCCATCTACCAGGTCATATCCACACTATTACATTTGTACGCAATGTCAACAATCACACTAGGAGTAAGAGGAGCACATAACAACAGCAAGCATTGGTAATGACAACAAAGTAACAGCAACAATAACAACAGTAATAGTGGTGGTACGTAGCAGGAATAGTACTAGGCAACAAGTCGTATCACTGCATAGGGACCATAATGTTAAGCTCCAAAGAACTTGGCAAGTTGCGGACAGCCACAAGAGTGCGTTTGCTCTCGGGGTGTTGGGGTGGGGATGTGGCGGCTGCGAGCGAGGCTAGCCACAGTCCCTGGATGCCTCTATATACACAAGTCACATGATATACTGATATACATGTGTATATATACGTATATACACATTCAACAGTAAACAAATAAATACATAATATGTATATATATATAGATATGTGTATGTACATGTTTATTTATATTTATATGGAGTTATAGGAAAGGATATACTGTATACCGGCCCATACCTAATCTAAACATTGTCAAGGCACCATATCACATTCGCAGGGTTCGCGACGCAAACTTCTGAGCCGGAGCTCGAACTGAACTAAACCGCCCTAGGACGCAAAAGCATAAATCCTCTGGGAGGCATGAGAATCAGCGCGATGCTGATGATGGCGTCGAAGGCGTTCAATGCTGGTAGCTTCCAAGGCCATGAGATCAGCCTCTATTGGACAGAAATGCTTAGTACACTTAGGGCCTAGCTTAAACTGCAGCATTGAGGTTTGCGGTCGAGGTTGAAGACGGTGGCTCTCGTCGCGGGGTTGTGGGCTTGCGGGGAGGGTCCGCGGAGGATGGACTGGTGTGCTGAGGCGCACACACTTGATTTGTCCGATGTTGTGCCAAGTACTACTATAATAAGCATGCGTAGCCTAGGGGGCTGAACTGACACCGTAAGGTTCAATGGCAGATTGAATGTGAGTCTGTGTGCTCTCGCAACTCGGACCTAGCAAGACGAGGTCTCTCGATAGGTTTCTCTGGAGAATCAAAACCGAATGCTTGTACGAAGGCTTGAGACCACTATGTAACTTACTGGTTGAATGCGTTTGAATTCTACATGCTCCTACGACTCTTTCTCTGATTGCTCCCTTTGCTGCTGTTCTGCTGTAGTTGCGTGTCCACTTGTCGCCCTCTGCTGGTTGCTGGAAATAACAAGGTTACCATTGCTAATGTTCTTGCCCCTTGTACTTTCAATGACTGCTTGAAATGTCCTCGCTGACTACCAGCAGCATAAATCAAAGCAAGCAGTAGGCCTTTAGGGCAGTTTCAGCACTCACAACTGGGAAGGATACCTTAGGGCTCAGGGTTTTAAAAGAGGGTGGGTTGGGTCTTCACGGAGCTCTCGGGCTCAGGGCCTACGGTCTTTAGGGGTCTTTCGGGGTGTAGAGATTAGGGTGAAGGTCTGTCCCCCAGTACCCTGCCTTCACCTGCTTGTCTCTATCTTGAACCTGAATAAAAATGATAGGCGAAGGTGCAGTGCAACCTTCCTGGTGCAGACACCTCATCAAAGCCGGGGATACTACCAAGTTACTACCAGACCCTAAACCCTAAACCCTAAAGGGGCATCACGCGTATTGATTTCCTGCCCAGAAGCTGCACCACCATGTAGGTCAGCATGACGGACACAATGAGCAGCATCTTCAGGAGTGAACATTGGACTAGGGTTTAGGGTTCAGGGTTTAGGGAACACAATACGACACAAGGAGCTTGGGTTTCAGGGTTTTGAAGAGGAATGGCCAGCTAAACCCTGAACCTGACTGGATGCCCCGAGGCACTTAACTTGAGATCGCCATAGCAAACATCGCAAGTCCTGACTGTGCGGCCCTGAGGGCAAAGCCTAAACCCGAAACCGTAAAGGCTTACCCAACAGTACCGACTCCCTCTGTAGTTTAAGGAGTATCCACATAACCCTCGACCCACAAACCCCATTCTGGTGACCTTTCCCCGCCTGGACGTAGGGACTGTCGCCCGCCATGACGATGGAGAGCGAGAGCATGAGGCCCCGCGGTAGCCTGGGGGGCTTACCTGGACCTAGACCCGAAGCCCTATTGCCTAAACCCTGCACCCCATCCCGTTTAGGCTTGGCGGCTTAGAGCGTATAGGGTTGACCGGTCTTCGGGTCTTACGGTTTCAGTGCAGAACTGGCGGAGTTAAGGCCGACGGCTTATGATGTGGGATTTCAGAAATGCTTCTCCAGCGGCATGAAGGTTCCAAACCACCAAATATCCGTGCGGAAGCGGAAGAGAAGGAAACGTGTCGCAGCAAGAAACCTCAGCCGCCACATGGAGAGCACTTCGAGATATCCTCTTTCTTCTAATCGGGTTCTTCTTAAGTTTAGACTTCTACGTCGAAGTCTTCGTCGGATCCTGAGCTTCAGCAAGTGGCACTGAAGACGGAACAGAAATAAGACCAAAGAAGAACATGAGGTTGTGATCCCTAGTTTTGATGTGTCGAGTTCATCTATCACTAGTGTGCCAACGTAGTCGTCTAGTAAGTGGCATACTTGTGACTACGGGTCCGTGGAGTGGTGCCTGTACCCAGTAGTACTAGGAGTTAGTAGTTGTCGTCGTGGTCGTCGTCGTCGGAATTGCAGTTGTAGCAGTCGTTCGTCGTAGCGGTGGTGGTGGTGGTGGTGGTGGTGGTGGTGGTGGTGGTGGTGGTGGTGGTGGTGGTGGTGGTGGTGGTGATGGTGGCAATACTCAATAGTCGTAGCCTGCCAGTTGGGATGCCTGTACCAGCCCTGACGACTGGCCACCTTAACGAATCTAGTCATGACGCCTATGAGTATCCGCCGCCTTGGACTCAACAAGCATTTCCCACAGTAACACGAACCTTTGCCAATCAGTAGCCAGACATTGCCGGAGGCTGCTTTCCGCGGTGCCACAACAGTGGCCCAAATGGCCATAGCATAGAACACGATCCTGAGAGCTCGCGGTGTGCTCGCCCTCGACCCTCAATGCCCAACCCCGAGATGCCGGCCCGAAAATCCACCAGAACAGTCGGCCAACCAGTTCTAAATCCTAGAAATCTCAAACCTAAGCACTCCACCCTACAAGCCCAAATTCCCAAGCCCCTAAGGCCCTAAGGATACACAAGACCAGGCATCATGCCGGCAAGGAGGAGGATTCCAATCAGGAACCTCAGAGTTGATCTTGACATGTTGATTTTTTTGGACCTCCCTAGACCCTAAACCCTAAACCCTCCCTAAACCCTAAAGCACCTAAACCCCAAACCCTACAGCCTGAACCCTGGCTGGGGTGCCTCGCAGGGTTTCTGTCGCTCCTACCATCCTACAGGGTTTCGGGTTGAGCTTCAGGTCGTGGGATTCTGGAGATTTAGTGATTTGGGTTCCTTTCGACGGTTTCTATAGTTTGGACTCTAAGGTTTCAACACTCGATTTTCATTGTGAAGGGCTTTCAAAAAGTTCAAGGGGCTCCACAACAGGCGCTCCTTCAACTATGTAAAAGGTCCTATAGTGGCCAGTTTGGGGCTTCAGAAGGGATGTAAGGGGTTTTCAGAGGTATCTGCAGTAGTGCCAGATCAGTGGCTCCAACAATTGCTGCAGCTGAAGGATCAGGGCATGTGCGCAGCAGCTCTTGCTCAAATTTAGATTTAGTGCGTAAGCTTTAGAGCGTCTTCGTTTTTAGGATTTACGGATTTGGCGCGGCCTTGCAAGCAAAGCTGGTTTGTGCCTCAAAGATCACCGGATGTTGTCTTCAGACAGATGCGTTTAGGCCGTTTAGGATCACCCAAACCCCTGACCTCTAAACCCTGGAGTCGCTTTTTAAGGTCTAGAAACGACTACTACCGCTACCACTACCACTACCACTACCACTACCACTACCACTACCACTACCACTACCACTACCACTACCACTACCACTACTACTACTACTACTACTACTACTACTACTACTACTACTACTACTACTACTACCACTACCACTACCACTACCACTACCACCACTACTGCTACTACTAATAATAATAATAGTAATAATAATGACTACTGTCAATCCACACTACAATCAAGCTTAATAATACTGTCATAACAGTCGAAACCACGATAGTAAGAACACTGTCTCTGGCACTACGTGTCTTTCCCAATTTGCAAAGGGCGGCATGGGTGTGTGCTCCTCACTCTCGAAGCAGAAGATGCCATTGTGCTCAAGCCTGATGCGTCACGGCAGCAGTAGCACGAAACATCGTTGTGTGTACAGGGCTTTATACCAAACAACACGATGCTCTGCATCAGTGATCGAGAAGCATGCCGCTCTTTCCATTGGGGTGAGTGTAGCACATCATGGGCGACAGAGCGATCTTGCTGTAGATCGTGAAGCTCACCTGTCCGAGTTTTCGGAACGGTGCCAATCCGACGCCGTGCGGCTAACAACGTCGTGATGTCGATGAACATCGCTTTCAACTATTCACTAGTCTTTCTGTTGTTCTGCTGCTTGGTGGTTTGTCTGAGAACCGTGTCTCAACCGTCCAGCTCGCTTCCAAGATACAGCTTATCAGCGATCGAAAGCTAAGCAACTCTATGGTATGGCTTCAGCAGAAGCTTTCGACAGCTCTTTGCTACAAGTGGAGCCCACGCAGTTTTCGGCCTGCATAAACTGGCCCATGGTGGAAACGAGCTTGCCGCTCTCGAAACGCCACGTAGGAGATAGCAGCTTGCTCAAGAAGAAGCAAATCAGCCTGTCTTCGATATACTACATGCCATGCCTTCTTTCGCCTGTGGTCAAATGCTTGCTTTTGACATGCTCGTGTATCTAGTTTTCAACTCATGATGCATCTTGGTTTTCGTATGCTTGACGTCACTTTTCTAAATCATGCGCTTTGCATATTTGACTACTACCCGTGATTCAGTCGTGTTGGAATGGAAGGGCAAGTCATACACAAGGCAGCTTTAAACAAAAACTGAGTCTCGCTGTATACTATTCTACCCTGTTGTCTTTGGATTTCTCTTGCTGTCAAGTTTCGTGTTTTCTTTCTGTGGAGATGCCTGTTTCCCTTTCATGTAATTTCGTTTGTTTACGCCTGCTTTTGCCAAGCAAGTCCGCGACCCCAATGAGTTGAACCTACGCATCGTGCAGTCTCAAAGCCGGGAGAAGGTTCACACCTAAACCCCCCCCAAACCCACAGGGTCCAAGTATCGTTGTGGTATATACTTGGACCTCCAAAATACCCTGTAAGTAGAAACCGTAACGATACTTGGCCCCTTTGGGAAGCCCGTCTTCGGGTTGTGGCTTCAAACACGAAGCTTTGGGGATTCAGGATCCAGCTTTCAGCATTCAGCTTCCGGAAATTTAGGGGTTGTGGGTTCGGAGGTCGTGGTTTACAATATGGTGTGGGGTTTAGAGCGCGGTGGGTTTGAAGTGTTCTTGGAAGCTTGAGCTCAGGGATTGATTGGAGTTGTGATTGTTTCTTGTTTTCTCATGTTTCGGTTTCGAGCATGTTTTTGCGTTTGAAACTTGGAGCTTCTAGTGTGATTTTACCGTTCAGGGTGAGCTTCGCGATTGGGGTTTAGAGTGCGGCTTTGGCCTTCAGGGGTTGCCGGGAGTTTCCAGAGTGTATGTAGAGCCTCAGAGCTTGGAGAAAGGAGAACATGTTAGTCTTTAGGGTTTAGGGTTTAGGGGCCGGCACTTGGCATCAAGCTTGGTGGTTTAGGGCTGGGGTTGAAACTCCCACACTCGGCACTGACAGGAAAGGCCTAATCAAGGATTTGGGGTAGTGCAGGATTCCGGGTTGAGGGCTGTTGGGGTCCCAGGTCTCCGAAACCCTAAACTGACCCGAAACCCTGCAAATTCACTAGTACAGGGGCCGTGAACAACTAAAATAAGGGGTTGGGGGTGTGTTCATACTATGATCGAATTATGTAAGGAGCCCTATTCTAATTACTAAGGCTCCTGTATTAAGCCCGAAACTCGGCAAAGGCCGATGTATCGGTGAGCTGAGAAGCAGCCAGACCAACGCGCAGGGCAACATGGCCGAGGTCATCATGTATCCTAGGCTGTTCAGTAACCCACTGGTGATAGTATATGCTTTGTTAGGCTTCTTACTTTATATTGGGAACCCAGAAACCTGAAAGTAAAAAAGTGTGTGCCGCTGAACAGCCTGGTATCCGTAGACAGGCGAACTTGAAACGCAGTCGAACCCAACAGCCTGGCAAGCTTACAGGGCTTCCGACGCAAAGACTCGCACGCAGCAGGCAAGGCTCCAGATACAGTAGAAGCCCAAAAGTTGGAAACCCAATAGCCTCAATCCGTAAGAGTAATGTATAGGGAATCCCAGCACTATTTGGCCTCTAACCGGTTTCCAACATTATGGGGTTTACTGTAGGGTTTAGGGTTCGAGAAAAGGGGGCAAGTTCGCTTCGGAGCGTTGAGTCCATGCTTGGTTGGGCCTGGGATCGAACTTGGTCTTCCGAGGCGCGAGACGCTTGCCCGAAACACCAAGCCATCTCTTTGAGGATTTTGGTAGACTGTACACATTTTTTTTTAGCTCCTTTTCTCCCATACTGTACACGTTGTGTTTATAGGGGTTTGGTACTATGCAGGACCCAAGGAGCTGAAGATGCCCCAGCCCAAGCAACCAACTTAAAGGCTCATGGGACTTAGTAACTGGGGTTATAAATAAGGTAACTGTATTTTTTATTTCTTACAACCCCAATTAGGGGACTTTTATCCTTACTTACTTACTAAGTCCCATGATCCTCTAAGTAGAACAGGGTTTGGCTCCGCCTTTTCTGACCCGAAACTTGAGACATCGGAAGTAGCATGGGGCCGTTTGGGTTGGGGCGGAGAGCGGGAAGTAAGACCGTCTTATGTTCAGATGACTGGCTGATGAGTTTGCAGGCCCTGAGCACGAACAGAAAAAGGTTTTGGAGGGTTTCAAACTCAAGCGTGGAAGTCAGTTACAGGCGTCCGAAGCCCTAAACATCCCTAAAGCCTCAACAAAGGGTTTTATAGGGTTTCAAGGCTTAGGGTGCTGGTGGGGTCTTTAGGTTCGGCCCTCCGCGATAACAAGCGCCATTTTCGCAAGCCTTAAAACCAAAAGCCTGAAGAGTACCACCGAACACGGAACCCCAGAAACCCATGCCCAGCACTCACTTAACCTGATGCCAAGCGCCAAAAAAATTCAACAACTGGACCATGATGCCGTAACGCTCTCCCCAAGGAGCTCCCGAAACCCAAGGAGCTCCCGAAACCCCCTAAACTAAACCCTAAACCCCAGGCCGAAAGCCTGAAGATCGAGGGTGAAGATGCTCATGAGGTCAAACATCCACTGCAGCCTTTGCGGCGTTTGTGCTGACTCTGCAACTGTGTGGGTTGCTTTTTAACGGGCCTCTTTCTATTCCGCAGAAGGTCTAGAAGCCTCGATTTAGGGTTCAGGGATTCGGGACGCAGCGCGTTGATCCCCACAAAGCTCCTGCAAGGAACCCGTCAACACGTCAGAAAATCACACCTGTGGAACCCTGCACAAACCAGGGCTGTAAACTAGCTCAGCAGAAGACGCATAGAACCCTGTACAAACTACACACCTGAAATAGCTCTAAACCCGAAACCCAATGCCCCACTCCCAAACGAAAAAGAAAACCGAGTTCAACAAATGTCAACCCCCAACCCCATATTCTCCAAGCTGCTCCGATGGCCACGAGAAGGAAATGTAGCCCACAATTCCCACGTTCCTTGGAGGAACCCCGGTTTAGGGTTTACACATTTTCCGATAAAAAGATTGCATCAGGACTTGTGTAATCGCCTGAACGCCTGAGCAGACGCACAAATCCTACGCCTTTTTTTTGGCATCCAGGCCTCGTGTGGTGTTGCCGGGTTATATCCTAAGCCCTAAACCCCCAAACCCGAAGCTCCTAAACCTTATAGGCTTCGGCAAGCTGAATCGAGGGTATCAGGATGCAAGGTTACGATTTTCATGTTGAAGGCTTATGATGTGGGGCTTCAAGCTTTGAGTCAGGGTTTAGAGGGCTTTCAAAGCCTCTCCGGGATCCGACAATGACGTATCGTCTCCTAGCCTCAACCCCTATGAATTAAGGGGTCATAAGCTAGTAGGATGTATGATCACTACTTGCAGGTTAGGGATTCTGGGGCTGGGTGGGAGCTTTTGAGTTCGGGTGTAGAGTAACGAAGGCTGGAAATGCTAATCATCAAAACCTGAAAGCGAACTCTCGCTTGGACGGGCTTAGAGCGGGAAAGACGTGCACTCTACTTTCTGGTGGAGAAGCTGCTTGTGCAAGTGCGAAACAATATGTCGTGCAAGTGCGAAACAATCTTGCCTTGCAGCTTAGAACAGCCTTAGAATTGCTAATGCCTGTCTTCCGGCATCACTTTCGAAACTGGCTCTCAAAGTGACTCGAAGTATCAATAATGAGGGGAGAGTGAGATTTGAAGCTACCAGGAGCCTAGGGATGCATTGGATGCATTAAAGAAGCATGGTACAGCTTTTGAAGGCTTTTGTGTTCTGGCCCTGCAAACCGAGCACCCTATCATACCTGTTTGAGCACACTATCGACCATGACCCCGAAATTTCAGAATTTTGTAGATCTAGGAGAAGCTGAGAGAACCACAGGGTGCAAGCTAGATTCTGGATCATGCTGATGGTCATGGCCAACGCACACGAGGTTGCAAGCATCGTTGTAGCTTTGGCGGTTTGCCTCAGCTGGTCCATGTACTCTGTGGCACTGTGGCATCGGAGTCTGAGCAGCCTCGGTGCGCTACGTGCCGAAGCTGCAAGCCTGCATGTGCTCACAATTCCTGCGACTGGACCCAAACTCCTTCACAACTGCAACTTCCTGAAACTCAGAAGGCAAGCCCCCTAAACTTCTGCTGGCTGCTTCATGTTCATCATGTAGTAGAGCACCGGCACCGAAACCAGAGCGAACAAGGCGGCGGTGATCCAGCCGAAAATGCTCAGTGGCCTGGTTCTACCACTAAAGCATCCTTGAAAGAACCCAACTTTATGGAAACCTTAAAAAGGATCCCTAGGATCCCTCAGAGCTTCAGATTCTGCAGCTTGCAGGTTGCCTCATCATAATTAGAATACGTTTCTAGCTTGGTTATGGTTACAGTTTAGGGCCTATAGGGTTTAATTACAAGAGTTTAGGGTTCAGGGTTTAGAGGTTAGATCAAGTTTACGGTTTAGCGTTGTTATGTATAGGCCGTTCCAACATGCGCTCTGTGAGTTCCTAGCGGAATTCGAAATCTGGGCAAGAGGCGTGCATTCTGCGCAGCCTTCGACGTTGTCCCAGGCTTTACCATCGGGGCAGTGAGTGCAAGGCACCCCCTCGAGCTCGTCAGCACAGGTTCCGGGCAAACCACCAGGGCACAAATCGGGCGGAAGGCACTTGTAGACGCTGAAGGGAGCCTCGAAATTCTTAGAAGGTCAGGAAAGCATCTCCAGTATGGATGTTGATACCACTACCAATACTTCTTCTACTTCCTTTGCTACAATGGTGGCGATTGTTTCTTCTACTACACAGAGTAGCAGCAGTGGTAGAAAGAGCAAATGCAGTGCCTCCTGGCACAGAAAGGAGGGCAAACGATCTCCGAAGCTAGCCAAGAAGCGGTCGCCTCGCTAAAGTATCCGGCTTCCTGCGTTGAGCGCTCTTAGGGTTAGGTTAGGGCAGTCAGAGGTATTCTTATGAGTAGGTACCTCTATATAGAACCATGGGCCATGAAGGGCATTGAAAAGCGTCCCAAGTTGCCACCTAGTTTCGATATCTGCAGTGCGACTGCCATTGCAGATCAATCCCTGTCCACACGCGATGCATTGGCCCTCTTCGTAGCGAGTGTCACCGACACATACTACGCACCTTCCCTGATACAGCTCCCCTTGGCATTGGCATGCATCCTGCGTAATGGCCCCAGAAAATGCAGTGGTTCTTCCAGATGGACACTCTTCGCATTCTGCCAGGCCTCTCTGTGGCCCATAACGCCCAGCAGGGCACGTGTCACAAGATGTCATAGAGCTTTCATTCGCGTAGAACCCTGGGGTGCATGTCTCGCAGATGTCCGCACCTAGCACGTTGCTGAAGCTTCCGGCGCTGCATGGACGACAGCTATCCATTCTGCTCTCGTTGGCAAAAGTGCCCACGTTGCATGGCTCGCACTCTGACATGCCTACTGAAGCAAATCTTCCGGCTTCGCAAGCAACACAACCGAGCTCAACTGAGAACACGGTCCCGGGGAAGCATTCACTGATACGGTCGGAGGGCACCCACGCAGCGGTCATGTTACATGTCCCACTGCTGCAGGGCACCCTCTTGCCGCTGTCACTTGGGCTCCATATCAAATCCGTGTACCAGGCAATGCCATCACTGGTGCGGAGCGCCAGCTCGACGAATTCATTCCCACGTCCCCCTTGGATTTGCCGAACGAGCTGTACGCCATCACGGTCACCGTACGAAGGTGGCTCCGTCGTCGGCTCGATACTGTTGAACTGCCGCACCCGGCCCGTCAAACCCAGGTAATCGACGTGCACGGACAAGTTGAACAAGCCCTCCAAGGACTGAGGAGATCCGAGTGATGAAAGCGGGTTGTTCTGCTCGATTAGGTAGGAATGAAAAATACCGGCCAAGTGCCAAAGCGAATCGTAGAAATATCCGGTCCACAGCACATCACATGCGCCCTGTCCGTTGCCAAACTGCTGACAACGAAGGTCGTATTCCTTGGATGTAAGCTCAAGCATGCAACACAACAATTCCCGCAAAGCAGCAGCTCTCATCTCAGGAAACTCACCCAAACACCCTGAACCCTAAACCCAACAACCCTAGACCCCAAACCCTACACCCCCTTTAGAACCCTTATAGATCCCTTCAAAGGAACCCTTATAGATCCCTTTCAAGAAACCCTTCTAGATCCCTTTAAAGGAACCGATTGCAGCTTGAAGTCATCGGCGATGTCTATCAGTGGTCGGCCGGACAGGCCGTGCGGGGCGTTGAGGCGCTGAATGGGCGAACGGCCACTAACCATAAGTCCTAGGTTTTCCCATGGTTCAAGGTTTTGATCCCTCCTACCTAGCAAGGACGAAGCCCAGGGTTCAGGGTTTAGGGGTTGGGGTTTAGTTTAGGGTTTGGGGTTTAGGGTTTAGATAAGTCCTAAGCTCCCCGGGATTTAGGGGTTAGATTTAGGGTTTAGATAAGTCCTAAACTCCCCATGATATAGGGGCCTTCATAATTAGAATAGGTTTTGGGGTATGGAACCCCCAAAATAGCAGTAATGGTAACTTACTTTGGCCCCTATAGTATCCCCCTGATTGTTGGCTCCCGTGTGGCTCGTCTCGGAAGCAGGTCTTTTTTCTTTTCGTATTTATAGTAGTTAATCCGTTTTGATCGGCTTTGAGACGGAGAAGCCCAGAGCTTACCTTTGGTTGTTATAATTGTACCCCATTCCTCCATTCCCTACTAGCCGCCAAAGGCAAGGGAGTAAAAGCTGGGAAAAGGGTACTAATGAAGGACCAAGAGTCCCCCGCCGGCCTGCAGCAGCTGCTCCGCAGTGCAGGGGCATTCCTTGCGTAGTCAGTACTTCCGATTATGATGTAAATCCTGCATTACCTTGAGGACCCTATGGTATATTCCTTATTATGGGTAATGCAGGATTTATATCATCAACCGTTCCGATGATGCTGGGCAACTTTTTGGCCCCCACCAGAATGGTTACGCTCCTCTGTGTGCTATATACACCCAAGCCCAGTTCTATCGCGTCCTTCCGCCCTGAACAGTGTGCCTTGTCCTGTGGTTAAGACGTTTGAATAAGGAAACAAGTCAACCAGTTGGCACAACCTCGAGCTGCTAACCGCTATATACAACAGCTCACACTCATCATCGTATGCCGCAAAGGAGAGAAAGGAAGACCAAAAGGAACCGGGCCCACTATCTCTAACACGGACCCTGTAACTACAGGACTGATTGCAGACAGGGAGCGGGTGTTTCTGCTACCATGTCAGCCACCCCATCCACCCAGTTGCCGAAGGCGGAAACGAACCACACATAGTCCTCTCGAGGGACGCATTAAAAGGCTACTTCAAGGGACTTCAGGGTCTGGGTGTGGCAGTGTGGGAGGGGAGGGGGTGCCTTACAGTGGCTTCTGGGTCCCAAAAGGTCCAATGTACCGATATAGTAGAATGTAGGGTTCTCATATTAGGAATTACTATTATACCTTAGGGAAGTATCCCCCATAACAGTACATAGGACCCTTTGGGGGTTAAAGGCGGCCTAGCAGCTCTGGGGTGTGTGCTGAGGCTCCGGGCTCCAAAAGCCCCTGACAGTCGATCGGCTCGGCAAGCATCTACACATGTTTTCGCGACTCGACTTGTTAGTGACTTTATAGCCAGGCTTAATGATAAGTAACCCTGATAGAACCCATATAGCACCGCGAAAGTAGCCCTCATCTTAGTACCCTGTTTTCGGTGTGTTAGGCGGCGCCGAGGTCCGGGGGAAGCATGTTCCGCAAGAAGAACTGGCACACCATCCACATGCCGGTGTACTCCTTGGACATCATCGCTAGCAGAATCAACTCTGCTCGAAACCTACACCATGGATCTGCAAAATGCCTGAAAACAGTTGGGTTTTGGTGCGAAGCAAGACCGAACTGCTCAGGTCGGGGCCTTAACGATTAGAATGGGGTTTCTTTAAAGGGGGTCTATAAGGGCTACTATAAGGGCTATTACAAGGATCTAGTATAGTGGGCCTGTTGGTGCTTTCATTTTTGCCCTCCGGTTGTCCCTTCGAAGGTTTGTGGGTGAAATTTTAAGATGAAAATACAGGGCCTAATGCAAACCCGAAATAATAGGATTGCCCTATAAGGAGGACTTTTTGAATAAGGTGCTCCTGGCCCTACTAAGAAGTTCCAGATCTAAGGCTTAATGCAACTGAAGCAAGGGCAGAAATGAAGCAAAGTAGCTAGCAAATGCTGCAGCCCTTCGCGTGGAGGCGCTCTTACTCACGCCACTCACGCTCCCGAAAACCCAAAGTGGCCCTACGACGTGTGAAAGGCCGCCTACGCGATGTCTAAGCGCAAGCCCCAGGCCAGGGAAGGAGTGAACCGCACAAAAATCCTTCAAACTCCAACGCTTCGAGGATCATGGGACTTAGTGAGCAAGGTTATAAGTCCCCTAATTGGGGTTATAAATAATTATAAGTACAGTTGCCTCATTTATAACCCTGGTTACTAAGTCCCATGAGCCTCTAAACGACCCCAAACGCTAGGTATTGAAACCAAAACTGAAACCCTAGAAAACTAAAAGAAAACCCTGCCTGCAGCCCCAAAGCCCAACATAACCCTCAAGCCCAACGTAGGAACGACTTCAATTTAGTTATTGAGGGACCCGATCCGTTGGCCCAAAGCCAAGACTCTGGAAGGACCATCATGTTGATCTTGGAGTCACGCGCCAAGACCTCCTGAAAGTGTGGCAAACCCTGAAACCCCGGACTTAAGCAAACATGAACCCTCGATGTCAAAAGGCTTATTTACGATTCTGACGAAAATTCTGACTGCTGCACAGGTTTGCAATATTTTGACCCGATCTCGGTGTGAAATGTATACAGGCCCTCTTGCGAACGGCTGCGATGTGAAGCTCCCACGCATAATCATTAACCGTTTTTGGCCCTAGCCAAAACGGCCTGGGATTCGTGAGTATACCGTATATACGAGAAGTATCGAGATAAGAGCCCTAACACCATATACCTTCAGACCCCGATACTACCCTGCACTACTGAAACTCCAGTTCGACCCTTCGCTACTTCCTGAAACTGCTGAGTATATGTGCAGGTTCCCGAATGCAGGCCTCCGAGCCCGAGCCTCGGGTTTGGGGTTTTGGGGTTCAGTGGCCCCCGTGTAATTGACATATATATATATATATATATATATATATGTGTGTATATATATATATATATATATATATATATATATATAATATGCAGGGTTTTTGTTTATGTACATATATATATATATATACATATGCACAGGTATGAATATGTGATTCGAACTGCAGTTATGAAAAAATACACACGCACACACCTATCTAGATGCACGAAGAAACCCGTAAGAAACAACAAACAAGTAAACCAAACAACCACATCCGCATAATACATGAAGACATATGCATCTATGTATATCTATATGTGCATATGAGTATATAAGAATATGTATGTGTAGATTGTCGAGAACTTTGTACAAGTGCATGCGACAGTATGCGGCCGCCCCACTCCTACAAAGCTTGAGCGATGCTCCTTGGGTTCAAGAAAGACGTGGCTAGCCCCGAACCCTGACCCCATCAACCCAAGGCCCTGATTCTGACATTCAAAACCTGGACTCGAATCCTAACTCCCAAACCAGCAACCTTAAGACCATATAAGTCTAACCTTACAAAATTTCAATCCCAAACCCAACCAGGATAGAGCCCGTATGGACCCCAATTGCAGGCATTTAGGGTAGGGTCGTTTCGTAAATGCCCTAAGCTCCAATACCTGAACCAACCAGTGGTTTTGGGGGGTTCCCTTGGCTCTTTGGCTCCTTATTTAACAGGGATTATCAGCATCCTTGGCTCCTTAGCTCCCCCAATATCAATGGTTGGTGAACCCTTTTTGTATACACGAACCCTTTTCAGCATGGGCTTGGATTGTGCGCCAGCGGACACTCCTCAACAGCTACGCTACCTATAGTCTCCATTGTAGTTCCTTTTTTGGTTATCCAATTTTATGGCTAGGACCCTATAATAGAGATTTTGGTTAACCAAAAAAAGGAACTACAATGGAGACCATAATAGGTAACCCTAAACCCTAAACCGAATCAGCCGCGTTTAAGGTCCTCCGCTGTGCTGCTGGCATCCTCCAGGCTCCGAACGGTACGATCCACGAGGATCCTTTGTTCGCAGGACGCGGCTTAGGATTTAGAGTTGTTGTTTTTAAACGTCCCTTTTCCGTCTTTGCGACAAATTCCCAGGATTTAGAGCTTAGGGTTTAGGGGTGTTGGCAAGCTTCTGGGGTTCAGGGCTCTGGTATCTAGAGTTCCGAGGGTTTTGTTTGACACACTTCTAGGATTCTAGGCTTTTAGGGTTTCGATTTTAGGGCTTATGAGGGCTCAGGGTTTCGGTTTGAAGCTTCCCGCAGACTCCACCGTATCAAAGGGCCTTCGGTAGAGGTTAGGGCTTTGTGGTCAAGTGTTTACGGGCTTAGTGCTGAACCTTACGGAACACCTTTAAACATCCCTAACGAAATTTAAGGAATACCTCTTTAAGTATATTGATTCGGAGTCTCTGGGTGTAGGAAGGGCACAGGGCTTCATATAGGGGCCCAAATAACTAGAATAGGGTTTGGGTGTATATTCTACATTCAAGGAAGCCCCAAAATATATTATAGTAGCCTTGTACTGTAGAACCTCTTATACACACCTTTCAAGGAATTCTAGGAAATTAGGGCTTAGGCTCAGAAACATCGGGTGTAGAAGGCTGGGCTTGGCTCCAGAGTTTCAGGGTGCTGGCTTAGTTTAAATAGTCTTACCGGGTTTGGGGATGTTGCTGGGGTAAGGATTCCTTGAAAATCCGGGTACTTTTTGAAGGGATCACGTCTAAAAACCGAACTCTTCCACAGGCCCTTGCAAGGAATCTGTATACCCTATATTATGGGTCCCGAAACGCTGGGCGCGTGTTCAAGGCCCAGGCGTAGCGGACTTGTAAGCAAAGCAACTGGAAGTGCAGCTGCTTGTCAGCCCAATCACAACACATGAAACACTAATTCCAGCCATGGACCTCGAGGAAGACGGTTTAGGGTTTACCTATAGTCTCCATTGTAGTTCCTTTTATTGGTTTAACCAATTTTATATTAGGGATCCTAAAAGGTGACCCCAAAAAGGAACTACAATGGAGACTATAGGTAGGGAAGCTCCAGAAAATGATACAGAACTGGGGACCTTCAAGACTTGGTGGGGCAGGAGCCTTTTCGTCGTCGGCCACAGTCCAAGACCATGACGCGTAGATGAACTCACGCGCTCAAAAGGCAGTACAGGTAGAGGCGGTAACGGGGCCAAAGTGCGAAGTACCGAAAACCCTGCAGTCTGAAAAAGCCTTGGTTTGGGCAAGACAAAAACCTCACGTGGCCCTGGGAGTTAGAAAGAACCAAGAGGACTGAAGCATGCTTTCTTCGACGTAGCCCGGGTCACTCCCAGCAAACACTGTAGGTAGTAACTCCGGAGCACCCTCAAGCCTAAAACCCTGAACCTAAAAAGCTTGAATCAAATCCAAGCATCGTCCAGTCGTAGGTGCCTGCTGCCACATCCGCTTCCAGAAGCTCTCTGAAAGCCGCCTCGTCCACGGTTCAGACATCCCGCATCGTAATATAGGGGCCTTAATAATTAGAACAGGGTTTTGGGGCCCCTTATACCATAATGAGAGTCAGGAACCACTAAAGTAGTATAGGTAATTATGTTGGGCTTCCCCTCATGCACCAAAACCCATATGGATTTGTTCTGTATGCAGAGCCACCAAGGTCTACGCCTTGTCCAGCCAAAGTTGCCAAAGAATCCTGATGTATGGGCTATCATGGATGTGGGGCATTTTGCATTTTGGCATGCTACTCTGCAGCCCGATTCCCGGGACAACAGGGTCGGTCCTAGTGACAGGATCTACCTATAGTCTCCATTGTAGTTCCTTTTCTTGGTTTAACCAATTCTATAATAGGAATCCCAAAAGGCAACCCCAAAAAGGAACTACAATGGAGACTATAGGTACTCATCTTTTCTCAAGGGGCTCCGCACGCATATCAGGTCTTCTGAGACTTCTCTGAAGCAACTGGCTACTCCTACCTAGAAGCTCCATAGTAGTTCCTTTTTGTGGTTAATATTTAGCATCCTATTAGCTAATTAATCCCAACATGGAACTACGGTGGAGCCTATGGGAAATAAACCCTAACCCTATACGCTCCCAAACCTTAAACCGTAACCGGGCCGTGTCTTTAGGGAACTCACATTTCCGCCTTTGCTCCAGCCGTGTAGACGGGGCCATCGAGGATTCCGACCCGCTTGAAGTTGAACCTCGCTCTCTTTGACTCCGCACAGACTTCAGGCGGAAGTAGTCGCAACGTTTAGGGTTTAGGGAGCAGCGTATGTCAACCACGTCTGTCTAAATATGCGTCATATCACTCGCATCGCAGCGTGGCAGAGTATGCTTCGAATTGCTTGCCGAGCATTGCGGGCCCAATGCTAGGGCCGACGGTAGAAGTCTTGATCCGAAAACAGAAGCCCTCAAAGCAGCCACGCACTCCCGAACCCGAAGCTTTGAACCCAACGTTTGATAGGCCCAGGCTTGAATGAATCAAGCCACATCCGCATAATCTCATAGACCGGCTTGACCTGTCGAGATGCTGACCGGGTGATCCCTTGCAAACAGTCGGTGCATTCAAGCGGCTAACTAAGAAACCATACGGTGATTGAAATACGTACAACTGTAGTGCATATATATATATACACATAACATATATATATATATATAGATATATACATACGCATATTTATCTCTTTGTTTTTGATACTGTAGGTTTAACAATACACAGAGAGAAAAGCAACACCACAAACGCAAAAATCTCTGCACCTCTCCATCTTTGCATGCAGGCATGCTGGCATGCATGCATGGGAGGATGAATGGACGGCTGGCTAGCCGGCTATCTGGCTGGCTGGATGGATGGCTGGCTGGGTGGATGGGTGGTTGTTCATATCTAACTATGTCGATGAATCGGTCTACCTACAAATCTATGCTCTCTCCCGCTCTCCAACCATATACCTTTCTATACATCGAACTATCTGGCTATGCACCGAAAAACCCTTAAGCCACCTAGCCAGGCCACCCCGACCCAGAACCATGTACACACCTTCATAGGTTTCACATAAAGACGCCCTGATCACAAGAATCCGAAGCCCGGAACATGGGCCCGCCTTGAAGCGGTCGGAAGGCGTCATCCGTGTGAGGTATGGGTATCGCGTCCGGTCGCTGAGGCTGGGGGATTCACAGCCCGGTGAAACCTGGGGTTTGGACTGTAACGGTTATATTATATATTAAGGTTATACTATATATTAAGGTTGCACTATATATTAAAGTTAATTTATAGATTAAAGGCTTTTTTGGGTGTCTGGCCGGGGTCAGGGCTAGAAGATGCTGAAAGTTTTAGGAGTTTGGGGCTTATACGGTGCTGATTTCTTGGAGGTGTAGGCGGTAGAGGATTTAGGGTTCTGCCAGGTTTATAAACTCCACCTAGAGTCTCCATTGTAGTTCCTTTTTTGGTTGACCAAAATCGCTATTATAGGATCTTAACGGTCCTACCCATAAAACTGGTTATATAACCAAAAAAAGAAATACAATGGAGACTCTAGGCAGCTCGGGGTTGCGACTCTCACAGCTTCCGCGAGGCTTTCGAGGTCCAGGTCCAAGGCTTGCGGTCTTAAGGACAGATAGTGCTCTGGTTCCCTATACATTACTCTTGGGGATTGAGGCTATGGGGTTTCCAACCTTTGGGCTTCTACTGTAAAGTTATGAATCCCAAGAAGTGGTCTTGTTGTTTGGGTTCCCAGAGGGTGCAAAGACACTACCGTTCTGGAATTAGGCCCAAAAAGACCAGTCTAGTCATGGTTTTTCGGCGGACCTAATTCCGTAGTAGTAGTACATGTAGTATATATTGGACCCTCTAGAGTCCAAAGGTTCGCTTTGCAGTCGTTGTTCGGCCTTGTCGTGGACACTAGCGGTCACTAGCGGGTATATACACTGCAGCAGAGGCACACATGCATCCATGCAGCCATGAGTTCACACAAATGCATATACGTTGTTGATACGGGCATGAATTTCGAATCGCCTAACATTACGTGCAAGATGTGCCAAACATCTGGTTTTACAGTGAAGCTAACGACTGACGATGGCAGGGAAGACGCCCAATGCCAACACCGACTTCTACCTCCACGACGACCATTGCTCGGCTCAAGTTTTCATCCCCAAACCCTTAGCCTTACCCATAGGCCCCAAAGTAGTTCTTCTTTGGGATTTTCTAATAGGATTCATTATGAACCCCAAAAAGGAACTACTTTGGGGCCTCTGGGTACACCCCAAACCTACCGGATTGGTCAGCGCGATGGAACCACGCCAGCTATCTTTTCTAGGGCCCCAAAAATTAGGATAGGGCCCGCATATAAACCCCCTTATAATGAAGCCCATTAAGGTAGGGATATCCCTATAAAATGCCTATGCTTATGTGCCTTTTTTGGCCCCTATTTTCAGCCTCGGGCCCGAGGTTTCGCCGACTTCTTGCTCGGCGGCTCGTCCACCCGAAGGGCGCGGGGGGGCGGTCGTAAATAGGGTTTACCCATAGGCCCCAAAGCAGTTCCTTCTTGGGATTACCCTGAAGGATTCTATATACGAACCCCAAAAAAGAACTACTTTGGGGCCTTATAGGGTTTATAGGATTCATAGGATAGCTCCTATAAGTCAGCAAACTCCCCCAAGCTAAAGCCCCAACACCCCGAACCCTAAAGCATTTGAATCCCACAAAGATTCCCCAACAAAAACCCGAAAGTGGCCGACCTGTAGGACGTTGAAGAGGCGCGCTGCGTCGCTGACAGCAGCGCACGCTTGACTGCATGCGTCCCCGAGGATGGCATGCTTCCTGGGATTCCAGTTTTGGGGGCGTTATATAAGGATTCAGGGTTTTCGGTGTATACACTTTCTTACGGGGTTTGAGCTCTTTGAGGTTGCAGGAGGATCCTGGGTTTGGCGTTGAAGGCGAAGGCGTAGCTAGGTAATCATGGGGCTTTAGATGTTGCACTTGCGGTTCTGGTGTTCCAGCATTGGGGATGGTGGGTAGGTCTTTCCCTAAACCCTAAACCCTAAACCCTAAACTCCAAACTCTAAACCCTAAACCCCAAACTCTAAACCCTAAACCCTAAACTCTAAACCGTAAACTCTAAACCGACTGAGCTTGGCAAGGCTGAAGGCTTCTGTGTACTCTTCGGTCTCGACCTATAGTCTCTATTGTAGCTCCTTTTGGGGGGTTACCTTATAGGATCCTCTTACTACCCCAAGAAGCCACAGAAATCAAAGGTTAAACTTTCCGATTCCTATTAAAACAAGAACCCACAAAGTTTAAAAGGTTAGGTATTGGGGATCTAAGTCCTTAGTATATAGTTGGTTAAACCAGAAAAAAGAACTACAATGGAGACAAAAGGGATGGTTTGATGACATCGGACAAGGCGAAAGAATCGCCTCTGTCTACGATCTTCGTGGGAGTTTCCGAAAATACGGGACCCTAATATAGTACCCTAAATAACAGGATCCTTATTACAGGGACCCCAAATAAGGTACCCCTAATTTTCGGAAACTCCTTCGTAGCTGCACATATGATATCATCTGAAACCCAAGGACCTATTCTCTTCTGCATGACAGCACTCATCATTCTTACGCATATTACGGTTTTTACTAGTAATTAACAGTAACAATAATCTTAGTATGATTATTATGATTTGTATTATTATTGTTATTAAAATTGTCATTATTGCTACTTCTGCTACTACTGCTGCATAACCGGGCTTCGTAGCTCCGCGCGTCATGGCTTCCACAGTGGCCATGGTCCCCAATGCCTGGCGCGAAAGAGCTGATGCCCAGGGCTTGGAGCACAATCATGACCAAGTTACATGGGTTGTTTTGAAATGGAATATAATAAGTGATGTAGGGGCCTTAATAATTAGAATAGGGTTTCGGGGCCCATTATACTATAATAAGGTACCCAAATATAGTACATCTCGAACGCACAGGGATGCAGTGCTCAGAGAACAAGGGCCGGCAGCTTTCGCAAGAAGGCTGAGCACTTGCAAACCACCCGAAATCCTAAACCCTAAACCCCTTCTGAGGGACCGTCCCAGAGGTCGGGAGTTTCAAGTTCGCCTTTATCGGTGTCTTAGCTTTCTCGGGAGTAGAATCCCGAGTGCCGCACCCGAGAAAGGCCGCCGTAACCTAAACCATCGAACTGAAATATGATAGAACCGTATACTATTATACTGATATACTATAAAAATAAGGATTATACTAAATCCAGCATGCCGCACTCAGGATGAAAGCTGTCAGCTCGCGCCATCCCGAAGCAAATTTTGTTGGCATTGTTGCTGTAAATGACTTGTTGGGGTCTTCGGCTCTGAAACGTAATTCATGTACGGGGCCTGCCCGATCAGAATAAGGTGCAGTGGTAGTATGTGTTACTTATAGGGCGAGTTCCTTTTAGTGCCTCTTCCGACCCCTAATGTAGGGGCCTAAATAATTACTCATATTATTTCTGGTGTCTTCATTACACTTATAGTATCTTATAGTATAGTGGGCACCGAAACCCTATTCTGGTTACTCAGGACCCTACATTACATTATAGAGCTTTCGGGAGCTCTGGGAAAAACTCGGGGGATGGCAGAACCATCGCCTCTGAACAGCCCGAGTCTGTCAGGTGGACGTTGACGCGGTAGCCCGGCAGGAAACCGCTGTCCTGGTAAATGAGTTGCAGAAACTCCAATATCCCTTAATTAAGGGATATGCCTGAAATTCTATCAAGGATCCTTAATGTGATTTACGGTGTATTCCTTCATTAAGGGATATTGGAGTCTCTGGATTCAAGCATGAGCGGTTCAGGGCTTTGCTACTGCTGCTGCTGCTACCACCACCACCACCACCACCACGACTGCTACTTCTACTTCTACTTCTACTTCTACTACTACTACTACTACTACTACTACAACTACTACTGCTGCTACTACTACTACTACTACTACTACTACTACTACTGATACTACTACTACTACTACTACTACTACTACTACTACTACTACTACTACTACTACTACTACTACTACTACTACTACTAGGAGGCCCGTCCTCAATCTCCTGTGCTGCCATGGCAAGCAGTGGCTCTGCCTGCGTCATCTTGTCACCAATGCTTCCGAAATAGGGGGCGATGACCTCTGCTTGCAGGCGAGATGCCAGTGGTGTGTGTGGTTCAGGGATGAGGGTGTGGCCTCGTGTCTGTATTCTGTTGGGTGGTTTGAAGGCCTCTAGCCTGCCGAGCTCAGTAAAGGTGAAGCTTCGGACGTCCAAGCCGCTTCACTAAGGGAACTAACTTCATCTCATACTCAATCCAAAAACTATTGATATCTCCGTATAAGCCCCCATACCAGTGTAGCACTCCACCTGTTAAGGCTCCGGTTGCAGAGGATGCCGAAGGGATCAACCCATCAGGCTGCACGGAAGACACACTCAGATTGCGGTGCCAAGTGGCCACGATGTTGATGTCTTCCACCGCCGTCCGGTTTGGGCTGTTAACCACATCGATGGTGCAAGTGCCATTCTTGTAGTATCCTCAGGATGTGATGGTAGGACCCATAAAGAAGCGCACCCAGCCGGAAATCCCCAAGGAGTAGGTTGGGCACATTATGCTTCTTTGGCTTTTCGGCCCAAAACGCAACTCAGAGGTCCGAGTAAACACCGAGAGGCAGCTCGTCTGGCTTGCCTTTCTATACTTTGAAGCCCGCCACTGCATCGTAGAGGGCTTCGACTCTCTCGCTCTGCATTGAAAGGCAAGAATCGAACACAATGTTTACGAAACTACTCTATAAGATACTAAGATACACTACAAAATAGTATAGTAACTACTACACTAGAAGGAACTGGCAGCCAAGCACGATCGCCCTCTCACTGCGAGGCTTTGTGGCACGGTGCAGGGCAGGAGGCTCTAGATCCAAAAAATCAAACGAACCCTATTAGGGTTTATAGGGTTTAGGGATCACCTAAACACCCGAAAAGTAGGTATAGCCCAACAACCACAAAAAGGCGATTACCCTACATACTTTTCGACGTCAAGTAAACAATAAACCCACCCCCCCCCCCTCCCCCCCCCCCCCTCAAACAAAACAACAAGCAAACCCCCTAAACCCCGAATAAGGCGAAACCCGAACCGCTGAACCCACCTGTCCTTGAGTGGTCATCTTGATTCCTCACTACGCTCTGTTCCGGAACTGAATCACATACTGCCGAGATTTGTGTGCCTACCGATAAGCCCCAACCTGTAGAGCAAAAATCAGCTCTGCTTTCCTCTCGTTCTTGCGGTCGCCCGTTGCAACCCAAAGCATGACCACTCGACTCGCAAAAAAGACGTCAAGCCTACCGCGTGAACCCAGATCAGAAGAAGCTTAAACACAAAGGACAGCAACATTGCTCCCCCAAGGGTCCATGTACCCAGACAGTCTAGACTTCGGCCTTGAAGTAGTCCGTTTATAGGCACTTTAGGGCCAAAGTACATACCATATGAGCACACGGACTCTTAGGTTTTAGGGTTTATAGGGCCGAAGTACATACCATGTGAAGGGTTCTTTCAGAGATCGAGAAGCTGCAGGGCCACTGCTCTCCTGTCGATGCGGTGCAGGTTTCAGGGCACCTGAGGTGCTGATTTATTTTGGCTTCCGCGTTATAAGAAGGGAAGTTTAGGGTTTAGGGTTAAGGGTTTAGAATTATGAAGAAGGGGTTTCAGAGGTGGGGGCAGCGGTCCCAACGCCCGGAGGTTAAGGCATTTACCCTAAGGCTCCATGTACCCATATAGTATATACTTAGGCCTTAAAGTACCTATATGGGGACCCCTTTAAGGCTCAAGTATCTACTATAAAGGTACATGGAGCCTTTGGGTTAGGGCTCTGAGATCCCAACCCTAGCAAGCGGAATCGAGCGGTCACCCGGGCACGAGGACGTGAGGAAACAACTCTGCCACCTTCAGCAAACCCCATGAAGCCGAAGTTCGAAAAGAAATCATAAACACTAGAAACCTTGTGGCTCAAACTTGATATGCCTGAAACGTTCGGTTGTAAATAAGCGCAGTCTCACCTTTGTAGTAACAACCCCCCTCCTTTTAGTAACCTTATAACAGCCCCTGCAGAGTGAGTGGCCCTTTGCAGTCGTAAGTCTCATAGCAACTACCAATTACATTTTTTTAGGCTTCAGGGTTTAGGGGTTTAGGGTTTGGAGTGCCCCTCCGAACACGAATATCCCCAGCGAGGATCAGGGCTGCCAGGCCAGGGAAGAGAGCTGCCCAAATGAAGAGCAGCTGCTGGCAGGACCTCCGCTCCATGAGAACCAGCCTCGGTTTAGGGTCTCTCAGCTCCCTTCAGCCCCTAAGCACTTGGAGGGTCGGGGGACTTACTAAGTAGTTATTTTATAGAGTTATAATTACCATAACCCCAATTAGGATCCCTGTTAGGGTACTTATAACTCTATACTCATTACCTACTTACGAAGTCCCCGACCCTCCAAGCAGGGTATACGATTTCGGGTGTGGGGCGTGGGGCCCGACTGGTTCAGGATCCTCGGGGGGCTCAGGAGTTCCAACTCCCGTGAATTTGTAAAGGGAGTTGGGTTTCACCCAGGGCAGGTACAGCATGCCATGTAATCTGCCTCTACGGCATGGGCACAATACGGCCTCAACCTTGCTTCGTGATATGCGCTCTTCGTGGTATCGCAAAGGTGTGTACAACTGGGTTGTAGTGTTACGTTGGGGGGGCTCTGAAAAGTATTTATGAATAGGTACCTCTATAGGAACCATCAGGGAAATTAACAAGTTTCCCAAATTGCCACCTAGATAACTTAATCAGGCTTCTATGCCGGTACTCGTATACAGCCGGCTCCCCTCCTTCCAGACGTGGATAGTCCTCACACACTATATACTGGCCACAAGGGGGGATACTCAAATTGCTACGAAGACAGGAAGTTGGGTAGTTGTCAAAATTACGGTCCCTTTTTGGGTACCCTAAGTACTAGGTGCCGTTCTATAATGAGGACCCCAAAAAGGGACCCTAATTTTGACAACCACCCAGTTCATCATCACACAAAGAAGCTGCGCAACAGGGGAACCATCGCCTTCCGTGTTGGCGCAGCATGAGACACTCTGCAACTCTCTGGGGGTCTACAAGGGATACTATCAGGGATCTATAAGGGATACTATAAGGGATCTATAAGGGATACTATAAGGGATCTATAAGGGATACTATAAGGGATACTATAAGGAATCTATAAGGGTACTATGATATAGGGGCCTGAATAACTAGAATAAGGTTTCACGCAAACAAGCCACTCAACATTAGTGAGGGACCCGAATTTTCAGAATAAGCTGTCGGGGCGTGTTATACCATGGCCAATGCCACAGTAAAACCGAATATTTATTAGAAGCTGCCCCCACCCTGTAATAGTGGTATAATAGGAATATAATAGGGCCCTAATGCAATCCTTATAGTCACTATTACAGGGTGGGTGCAGCTTCCAAGGAATTTCTACTACTGATCTTCAATCTTGTTGAACACCAGCACAGTACAGGCGCCTGAGTGGAAGAGGCGGGTTTTGCATAAACTACATATAGCTATATACAACATTCCTCCCCAAGAAATCATATCACCAACGATTCAGTCTTCCATGCTTAAGAAGATTTGGCCTATAGATGTTTGTATCTCATTTGTCAAATCGATAGCCCTTGAAGACACGCAAGCCACGTCAAAACAGCCCTCGCCTGTAAACGCACATCCTACACCCTAAACCTTTTTGAACCTATACC